CCGGTAGATTTAGTGTTAATAAATTAAGAAAAAAAATTGTTCGTTTTTTACATTGATGTGTTTTGTATCTAATTTTATATGTATTATTATTGTTATTAATATTATTAACTAAATAACTTACAAATAAAAAGTAATAAATAATATAATATATTACAATACAATTGATAAAGTTGTGGTAAATATACAAGAAAATACAAAAAAAGGTCTCTGCATCATTCATCAACTTGGTATCGGAATGCACGATTCTGCTTTTACCGAAACAGAAGAAAACCAACTCGAAATTCCGCTCAAGTATCGGCAATTTAAATGAAACTTTCGATTGCTAATTTCAATTTCAAATTTCGGATCTTCCGTGCATCCTAATGCAAATTGCCGTTTACATAATATTTGTTCAAAAAGTGGACGACTCGAAAAAAAAAGGCGCAACTAAACGGTTTCGATTTTCACTTCCTCCAGTTGAGAATATCAATTGGCCACAAGCAAAAATTCTGTTTATTTATATTTTAATGTATGTATGTTGCGTACACCACCGGAATTGTTAATGTAAATTGACGTTTGGAATTTAATGTAACAATTCTTTACAACGCAGATGTACATTAATACGTTTGCCCATGAATGTTTTATTATCATTTAATGGACTTTAATGGTGCTATTATAAATATTAATTTATATAACATAACATAAATGTACCGTTATGTGGACTTTAAGCCCCACAATAATTTTAGAATTTAATTTAATTTTTATGTAAGTTAGTTCTTAGTGATGGCGCGGCGGTAAGGGCTGCAATCTTGTACACCCTTTAGTATATAATGAAAGTTTCTGTATTTTTTTTGTATTTCTATTAATATCACGGCATTATTTACTGATTATTTATCGCATTTTTAATTTATATGTAAATTTAAATTAAATATTTTCGTTACATAATATTTTTTGCTTTTATTGCAATTATAAATTATTTCTTAATACGAATTTCAAGGTTTATATATAAATCACATTTATTGATCTTAAGAACGAATTCTCTAATAAATCTAATATTGAATTTCTCCCAAATTAAAAAAGTGTTTCAATTTACCAATTCGTGAATTGCGTAGTTTAACATTCTTGAACTATCAAATAAAAGTTCTCTATGAATGCAATATATACAAATTGTTGCATTTGAATCACTCTTCGCGATTTGGTATAAACTAAACAAAAAAACGAATTTTCACTTTCTCCAGTATGGAATATCAACTGGATACAAACAAAAATTCTGTTTATTTATTTTTTTTTGAAGTGTTTATCCTCAAATCGTGTTCTGGGGTAAGTGTGTGTCCTGATCTTAGCCTATCTATATTATGTCTATTATTTTTGGTGATGGCCATGATTACAAACAATCAAAACAGTTGTGTGTATTTTAGGACTTATGGTAATATTTTCACTTCCTAGAGCAATTCATGTCTAATATTGCCTGCTATGTTTGATTTAACTGTATGATAGAGATCAGTAAAGGGAGTTCTCATTGGTGTTTCTTCATTACCTTCTATTCCTTGATGTATTGGTATCCAGCAGAGATTATTATTTTTCCATTCTTAGCAAAACAATGCACGTATCTCAAGGGCCCAATAGTTTGTTTCCACTTTATAATCAACTGATGTGATCAGACTTATGGAGTTGGCAGAATCGGATAATGGCAGATGTTAATATAAATTGAAATTTGGAATCTAATTGGAATCACAGTAAAATCTTTGCTCATGGATATTTTATACATATATAGTACATTTGAGAATCACCGGCCCGTGGGCCTTACTTGACCCTCTACTTCGTTTGAAGTAAATGAATCAAGCAATATAGTATATTTGTTTTAAACTATATGAATTGAATACTGTCAAAATTATTATTTTATAATTGATATTTTGTTCCAATTTTTATGATATTTCACTACAATGTACATCAAACATGAAAATTAATTAAATAATTTAAATGTTTCTTTTCATTTGTTGCTAATTAATATATATTTTATTATACATAAATATAAACTCATTAATCAATATAAATCTCAATGATATTTTAATTGATGTTAATTTAAAAAAAAAAACAATTTAAATTATTGTTATAAACCAAAATAAGTTAATCACTTTGAGAAATACTTTTTTTTCATTATAAATACATTTATTTCGATAATTAATGACTATCTAATAGCTCAATAATCCATGAGCTCAATACTATGAGAGGTATTATTATATTTTGGATATATTAATAATATTTAATGAATCATGTCATAAATTAAAATCACGAAGATTTTTTTTATCCAAAATGACTTGAGTCACTAAATTAAATGGATAGGAAAGAGAATATCATCATCATTTTATATTGAAAGTGCTTCATTTTATACGGCCGAATTCCAAAACACTCACTTTATAGTTAATAGCCAAAATGTTGGCAATTGCATCGATGTTGTACGATTTAAACGCAAACATTCACATGGAATTTCGATGAGTAACAACGATGAGTCAAAGGGCTTACCAGTTTTTAACGTCTCCAGGCTGATGACCTCCCAAAGACCATTAAACAAGGTAATAAACATAAAAAAGTAAAGATGCCCTTAACAAATATGTTTGTGATTTTAAAGATTTTATTTCCATTTGATTCCTGTAGAAAAAACATTGGACAAATAAATAAATTCAATATCATAGTTTTTTGCTCTTTCATTTCATCAAAGGCCTAGTAGCAAAAAGAGAAACTCGAAACCCGTATAAAGAGACAGGCTCGACCATGGATGGAAGCGTAAATGATCATTACCATTTAAACTGTAGTTTAAATAAACGAACGGCCGGTGTTAATTAAAAAATAATAATATATATGTAATATACAGTGAAAAAAGATCTAGCACGAATGGAAATATCATCATTAATGGTTAATGTCGTGCGACTCTGGTCGAAATCGATTTTTGGCCTTTGGGGCTGAATAAATTTTGGATGGAACGGCATTGTGTTCGAGAATTTATAGCCGAGTTAAAAAAAATAAATATAATTTACATGGGTAGAAAGTTCGATAATGTTATTTTTTATTTTTGTTTTGTTACATCAAGGTAGGATCGATCAAAGATTAAAATTGTACTAAGTATGGACGACATAATGGAGCATTGTTTTCCTCGGGTGATGGGGGTCATTGTCGTATCAAGAGCAAGTGAGTTACTCATCTTGTCCGGGCCTGGAGAAAGTGGCCGCACCTAAAAAGCATTAATCATCTCTCACATGTGTTATAATCTTTGAACGTATCTTTGTCCTTCTCGAGATGCCGAATCTCTGATCTTTTACGATTTTGTTTGTATTCGAGGAAAACGAAACTAACAGAGAGCCGCGTGGATTGTTACGCAACGTAATTGTGGTACTGATTTTCTTTTTTGTTGTTTATGGAAAAACCAATTTTTGTTGTTGTTGAAAAATAAAAACGGTTTTCAAATTCCAGTGTCAAATCTCTCGTTTACGAAGAAACTAAGAACTTGCATTGGACTCTTACGCAATTGTGGATAACAAAACAAAGACTTCCTGATTTTCGGTATATAAAATAAACATTTTTTTTCTTCAAATTTTATGAAAATCAAATAAAACAATAAAAAATATTATATTTTAAAAATTTCAAGTTTTTCAATTAACCTCGCATAGTGCGGCATCCATCAGTACGGATTGGTTTTGAAAATTTAAAAACAAAATAAAAATTAATTGTAAAAAAAAATATTACACAAAATTAAACTTATATGAATTAAATATTTTAGGTTCTCGATTAGTCCGGTTTGAAATAGATTACCCGCACTATGAGAAGTATTGCTGAAAATCGCTAAATTAAACATACTTCATACATAACTAAAAAAAATATCTTGTAACTACAGAATTCTGAATAAATAATTTAATTTTTAAGTTTTTTTTTTATTAATTATCTTTCCTAAAGAATATATTACGAATAATCTTGGTTGTCACAAATAATCTGAATATTAGGCATTTGTATGTTCTCATCTTGTTAATTTTTTAAAACAGTTTTTTTAAAATTAATTCTATTATCAATGAATAATTAAAATTAATATGTGAAAATAATAATTATACTAATAAAATTTATAGCAAATATCCAATTGCAGACTTAATATTTTTTTACTTTTTTCTTACCTTTTTAATTTAATAAATGATTTACTTTTACTGTCTCCATTTCAAAATTATTAATGAAATTAGATATTTTTGGAATACATTTTTTGATAGTATAAGTATAATTTATTAAAATATATAAATTGATAAATAAACCCTGTAAAAGAGTCATTTCTAATTATAAATTAACCAAATATAAATTTGTACCCAAAAATATAAAATTAAATTAATTAGAAAAAAGAGGATATACATCTGATCAAAGGTATATCGACCTAAGTGTTTCAGTCCTAATTTTTATGATTATTATTTGTTTTATAAATTCTAGTAGTAATAATATTATTTTTTAATTAAAAACTTTTATAAATTTATCAAAAAAAAAAGGTTTTTGAAACCAGTTTTCTAAAACGGACAATATAATAACATGTAGCTATTCCTAAACGTCATTTTAGATATGGAAAACTTCTTGATTTTTGTTGGTCGATCAACTATTTTGATTAAATATTGCGGATGGTAGATTAGGCGGAAGGAATGTAAGTGAAAGTTGGTGAGGGTCAAAGCCTCTAGGACCAAGAACTTCCATCAAAAGGCAATAATAATAAAATGTGATGGAAGAAGAAAACAAAAAGGAACAACGTAATGAATGCCTTTTGTGTGTCGCGGCTTTTTATCTGAGACACGCATGTTGCGTATATGTGCGTGTGGAATGCCTAATGCGTGCCGTGGACGTTATTCTTTATTTATTTTTTATTCTTTCCATTTCGTGTTTGTTCCTTGTTTGTTGTTTTCTTCGCCGCCAGCTTTTGTGATTTGGACTGGATGCGATGGTGGCCCGGCTAAATTTAAACTGCCGCTAAATTTAGCCTAAAAAAATCATCAGAACGGTCGACGGTCGTCGCGACGCGTGCACAAACGCTATGTCCACGAGAGAATGCTGAGTCTACAGATCATCATCGTCGGATCATTGTTGCTTGCCGCCGGCGCCTCCGATATCCTCAACGTCGGTATGTAGTACCAACAAATCTAAGCACTTCCTGGACCAAGTTTCAAGCTCCTCTCCAGGTGGCATCTTCGACAGCGAGAACGAAAACAAGAAAATCGCGTTCGGTAGGAGCATCGACATCATCAACAACAATGGCGTGTTGAAGAAGTACAAGCTGCAACCGCTGCGGGAGCATATCGAGCCGGACAATGCTCTGGAGGCTTCGCAAACGGCCTGCAGTTTACTCTCGGCTGGAGTCCTTGGCATCTTCGGACCAGTTTCGGAGGAGAACTCTCAGGGAGTTCAATCGGTGTGCGACACCAAAGAGATACCCCACATCGAGACCAGATACGATGCCAACCAAGTTCGGGACTCTTGCTCGGTCAACTTCTATCCGCATCCTTCGGTGCTTTCCCGTGTTTACGTCGATATCGTCAAAGCTTGGGATTGGAAGAGCTTCACCGTTCTCTACGAAAACAACGAGGGACTCTCCAGAATACACGAGCTTTTGAAGATGTACGACAACAAAGGTTACACAGTTGTCGTCCGACAATTGGATAAAGGCCGCACAGGAAACTACAGGTTTGAATGAAAACCTAAGATACTAGCATAACATAAATAAACGCTTCATTATTAGGCCAGTCTTAAAAGAAGTCTGGAAATCTGGAGAGACACACTTCGTCTTGGATAGCACCATTGAGCACTTGGAAGAAATCTTGAGACAAGCGCAGCAAGTTGGTCTTATGACCAACTTGCATAACTACATTATTACAAATATGGATATGCACACCATCGACCTTAACCCTTACCAATATAGCGAAACCAACATTACAGGGGTAAAACACTAATTACCATATTTTTTGGACTACAAAACTCATTAAATCAAATTTATAATTCAATTTTTTCAAAAATTTACTTAGAAATTGACTTGAATAGTCCAAAATATAAGGAAAATCAATTAACTTATAGAAGTGTTTCCGAAATTGGACCATCTCTAAATTATACTATAAAAGAAAGAAAATTTTTAAATTGGAAGTTATATTAATAGTAAAAACTGAAGAAGAAATCTATCTGTTTCACACTTCTTATGGCACCTGTCTAACCCTCCCCTAATTAATCAAATTTGCAGATTCGTTTCATCAATCCTGAAGATAACGATGTCATGGATATGGCCAGTTTTTTAGAAGAAGAGAAGGCTGCAATGGGAAAAGAACACGAAGAAAACTCATACATAGCAGCATGGAAATTACAAGTAGAAACTGCTTTGATGGTGGATGCAGTGAAAGCTTTTGCTATTGCCATTTCCGAGCTACAATCTGATCAGAAATTCAACGTGGAGCCTCTTTATTGTAACACAACAGATAATTGGGGTTACGGCTACAGCATAATAAACATCATAAAAACAGTAAATCCTCACATAATAATGTAATTAAGTTATTTATGTTATTTTTTAAGAACACCATAAAAGGATTAACCGGGCCCATCAAATTTGACAATCAAGGATTTAGAAGTGACTTTTCTGTTGATATCATCGAATTGTGCGAAGGTGGAATCACTAAAGTCGGGAATTGGAATACAAGTGAAGGACTGAATATCACAAGAACGTATCCGGTGATGCCACCACCGGATGAGCTTAGTTTACAAAACAAAACGTTCATCGTTATTACAGCCATGGTATAACTACGCAGTTGGATATATCATTTGACCTTTAACGATTTCTATTTTAGACTGATCCTTACGGCATGCTCAAAGAATCCCAAAGCAGTTTAACAGGCAACGACAGATTTGAAGGATTCGGTATCGATCTGATCCATGAATTGTCTGTGATGGAAGGTTTCAATTACACGTTCATCATTCGCGAGGATAAATCCAATGGAGCCAAGCATCCAGTCACAGGGAAATGGTCGGGAATGATTGGTGACCTAATGGACTTTGTACGAGTATTTCACATATCAATTAATCACCATTACAAGTCATAATATGCTTTTAGAGAGCGGATTTAGCTATCACGGATTTCACAATCACTTCGGAACGTGAGGAAGCTGTCGATTTCACATCGCCCTTTATGAATTTAGGTAATAAACATTAATTAAAGATTAATTGAAAATTTTACATGTAATTACAGGTATTAGCATTTTGTTCAAAAAACCGAAGAAGGCGCCACCAAACTTCTTTTCGTTTGCTGAGCCATTTGCCTTTGAGGTGTGGCTTTGGTTGGCCGGAGCTTATTTCATCGTTTCTATTTCTTTGTTCATAATGGGAAGGCTTTGTACTAGCGAATGGACCAATCCGTATCCTTGCATTGAAGAACCGGATTTTTTAATAAACCAATTCAGCTTGAGGAATTCGTTTTGGTTTACCATAGGAAGTCTTATGCAGCAAGGAACAGAAATTGCACCAATGTATGTTTACTTCATATTTTTCAGTTAATAATAGTATTTTGAAATATACTTATATCATTCATAATATTTCGTTTATAAGATCTTTCAGTCATGTAATTTCAACAAATTTTATTAAAGATGTCTAATATCTATGATATAACCTTAATAATTATTGTTTTAGTGCTGTTTCTACGCGTATGGTAGCTGGTATGTGGTGGTTCTTTACTTTGATCATGGTTTCTTCTTACACTGCAAATTTGGCTGCTTTCTTAACAACGGAAAATCCAGATTCACCATTCACAAATGTACATGAGCTTGTTCAAAGAGCACCAAAAGCTGGGATCAAATACGGAGCAAAGAAAAATGGAGCTACTGCTAATTTCTTCAGAGTACGTATTCTATACATTGCATTATATAGTAGTTTTTGGACAATAAAACGGACAATTTTACATCAAAAATTATCTGTACCATGGATAGTTAATTGAATAATTGGTTCAACAGGATTCGGCTGTTGAAGATTACAAGAAAATTTATGATAACATGAAGAACTATGAGGATGAAATGATGATGAAAGAGAATAAAGACGGTGTGACTAGGGCTGAATCTGAGGATGAACAATACGCTTTCTTCATGGAATCCACGTCCATCGAATACGAGATCCAAAGGCATTGCTCTTTAACGCAAATCGGCGGTTTGTTAGACGAGAAAGGTTATGGAATTGCTATGAGAAAAGGTTCGAAGTGCATTGATTAATTATCACGCGCCAATTTTAAACGTATTCAATTTAGATTCACCTTACAGGAATATTCTCAGCACAGCGGTGTTGAAATTGCAGGAATCTGGAAAAATAGCGGATTTGAAGAGGAAATGGTGGGAAGAGCGACGCGGCGGAGGACAATGCACTGTAATTATCAAATTTGTATTACAACTAAAATAATATATATACATGATCGTCTTTCAGGGTGAAGCGGATTCCCAAGAGGCAAAGCCTTTGAATTTGAAGAACGTAGGTGGTGTGTTTTGGGTGACCGTGGGCGGAACGGTGATGGCCTGCTTCATGGTGTTCCTAGAAATGGTGCTGCACGTAGCGAAGGAATCGATTAAGAGAAAGGCGACGTTCTTGGAGGAGTTCAAGGAAGAGATAAAGTTTTATTTCAAATTTAAAGGAAGCGTGAAGCCGGTCAGGATGCGCTCCTTCTCGAAGTCGCCTGAAGCAAGCGCCAAGTCGGCCGAATCCTTCGGTGATCTGGCCATCGAGGTGCCCAAGAAGTCTCTGTCGAAATGAACAGTTTCACAATAAATAGTACTATTACTACAACTACAATAGCAGCACTCTGTTCAAATTGTTTTCCTTTTGAACGAACTGAAGTTCATCCGAAGCCACGTCGCTCATTGTATCGGATAAGGCAAGCGTGGCTTTCTTCGGACGCGGATTGCGGCAACCATACCTGTTGTTGTTGATGTTCTTTTTTTTATTCAAAATCATTAACGTTCGATTGCGCAACTACAATTCAATTGTCGTCGGGAAATTGAGCGTTTGGACGAAAAGAAAAGAAACGAAATCACCACATACACAATCAAGTAAACCGTTGCGAAACAAAAGCGCGCTCGCAATTAAAACCGCCTCATAAATAAATAAAACTTATAACCACATAAGATACAGAATTTATATATGTATGTGTGTATGTATGTATGTACAAGAAATGAACAGTTTCTAGAGAAAACAGGGAAATTAAATGTTCGGTATAAAAAGCAATTAGTCTCCTTCCATATAATGCGAGCATACTAAACAGAGCGCTAATTAGCACGAGACGCAAATAGTAAGGAGCGTTGCAACGTTTAATAAATATCGTTTTTAATGAATGAATCTTCGTTTGTAAATTGCAAATCCAGTTGGATTCAGGTCGACCGAATTAGACCGAATTCTAATGCTCGTCGCCCGGCAACGCTTATTGTCATGTTTGATCGATCGCAATGTCCGACGCTGACGTTCCTTTATCCAAAAGCCAAACAGAGTAAGATTTTTATTTACATAAAATTCTTAATTTAATTGGGTTTCTTTACGAAGATGGGTCAAGTTGGGTAAGGTGAGACATTTGTACTTCATCGGTAAAGAGATTTGTTGCTTCTACGGAGGATGTCACATACTCTTCGTTCACGTAGTCAGCGGACAACAGAGACTTTTAAGGGTGAACGACTCAGAGATAGGAGAAGGTGTAAGATGTTTTGCAGGACACCGCAGTTTGCCTTTCTTTGCTTATGCAGAGAAATGCAAGAAACCCAAAATCAAAGTTCTTTCCTATCCAGAGTTCAAAATCATATCGACTATGCACGGTAAGTTGGTATATATTTTAAATAATTACTATAACTAAGTAAGTAAAATAAGTTATTTACGTTTATTAATTCATCAGTTTAGAATAAATGAGCTAGAATAACAAATAATAAGTCAAAGATTCTAGTATGAAAAAGGGTAGTCTTCTTTGAAGACTAATGTATAGCCATGATTACAATGTAGTATATTTGTTATATTCATTATAGATAAATCTTATATTCGTTAATTCAATATTTTTTCTAAAAATATGTTGAATTTAGAACAATATTAATACAAACAAAATACAATAAGCGAATTCACAGATTTATATTAAATATAAAATTATATAATTTCTTACTTTCCAAAAACAAGTAAAATAAAAGTTACTACACACATTCTAATTAACTTAACAAGTATATATGTAGTTTTTGTAATTAACACTAAATGTGTTTCTAATTGAACATTTGTGGCTAATTCATGAACGTATTTAAAAACTGAGGACAATTAACGTAGGCAACCCACATATTATTTTTCACGTACAATTTTGACATAAAACAAATATTTACAATGATTCAAATTTAAAATAAATTTAAACTTGATAATTTTATTATTAACAAACAAAATAGAGATAAATGATTTTATTTTAGAAATATCATGTCTATTATAATTATTTATATAATTTCAGGGTTCACTCAATAAATTTTCCATTATTTGTTTGAAATCAGTGGCAATCAAAAGCCCGACAACCGAAATCCTGTCAATCAAATTCCTGACGTTTGAAATCCCGACGTTGTAAATCCCGGCTGTATCGAAATCCCGACGTTCGAAATCCCGACAACCATAACCCTGACTATATTGAAATCCCGACAACCATAATCCCGACTGTATCAAAATCCCGACTATATCGAAAATGTCTACAATAACATTTTTAAATTATTCCGGAGCGTATTGTAATTAATAATTAATAACATCAATTAATTGTATTTAAGATTATTTCATATTGTTAAGGTTTATTTTGAATAATTCAACAAAATTAAATAAATTAATAATTTATTCTTATTAATAATAAAAAATGTTATTGTAAAAATTTTCGATATAGTCTCGGGATTCTGATACAGTCGGGATTTCGAACGTTGGGATTTCGATACAGTCGGGATTTCGAATGTCGGGATTTCGATTGACGGGTTGTCGGGCTTTCGATATACGGGCTTTCTGAAATATTTCACTTGTATATAATTTTTATTTAATTTGTAATACTGTATTTAGTTACGCATCAAATTATTAGTACTTTACTATATTAGACATTCTTGAGGATCAAATTAAAAAAAAATTAACAAATTTATTTACTTCATAAAATTTAACAATTTGTGTAATTTATTTTTATGTGGTTTTAAAGTCTTCTATTAATCCGGTTTCCACACTATGCGAGGTATTACTATATTAATAACAAATTCAATATAACGTGTCTAATAAAATAATCACTTAATCACATTTAAATCATGTTTTATTTATTACATAACGTACTTTTCTATATACTTACGGTAAAGCACACCAAATCTGCAATTTACATAACGCTATTCGCATCAATCAGCTGTATCGCATTTCCAATACAAATATTATTGATGCAAAAAAAAAAGGAGTTAGTGAATGTGAATTACAAAAATGTCTTACATTAGAGCATGGAAGGAGATCCAATTGAATTGATACTTGATTGAAATTTGCATTTTGGTAGCAAGGATGATGTCCGTAATGCCCGATTTGCATGGAAATTGTACGTCCTTTTGCGGACGTGCAATTCCGAAAAATTACTTTCTAATTAATGAGAGGCCCTAAAGGACTAACCAGACCCGTTTGCGGTAACGCAAATTACACCGGACGGGGCATTTACTAAGTACATGGTAGTAGCTGCACGCACCGCTAACAAATTTACGTTTTGTAACTTTTCGTTTTTTAATCTCATTATCCAATCCCACGAATTACAGCAGAGTTAAAATTCTTAAAACCTTATTATATACAGTTGAGATCCTCTAACTTCCAATGCAATTCGATCCAAGAATCGGTTCAACTTTCAAGTTAAAGTTCGCTACAAGGAAAACATGTAAATTCCATTCACATATTCTGGTAACCCAATAATTATTATGTAATGTTTTGTGGAAGGAATTAGGTACAAATTACTTTTGACATCAATTAAATTTCCTCATAAGAAATACATTTCAATTATTTGTTTATTTCTATTTACAACTTTTAAACAATTTTTCATTTTAATTATATTTTTTTAATACTGGTGATCCTAAGCTTCAGTTCTTTCGACAATCATTGAAACTGGCATTGAGAGTGAGTTTGTTTATGAATTATGTCTCTGTAATGTTCCAGAAGCCTTTTCTTAATTTCATTTTCTCTTCTTATTTCTTCTGCAATTTTGTTGTAATGTATAATGCCATGTACTTCCATTCATCATGTTCATCTCAGTATGTTCCGTCCTTTTTTAATTTATTTCAGACACTTCAATAACTATTTTGTAATGTTATGTGGAAGTAATTTAATTACTTTTGGCATCAAGACAATAATTTTTGCATGATTGCTTAGGTGGCTTTATAAAGAAGAAGAAATTTAATTGAAACATTTTTATTTGATAATTATTAATGTTAAAAAAACTACTTTTGTTGGTAGATGACAACTGTGAACAGTACATCCGTACGGTCTTCACGGAAACTGAATTGATGATAGCCTTGACCGGTTTTCCTTCTTGCACGATGGTCGTCTACAAATGGCGTACAGGGGAATACGTGGCTTCAGCATCGACCGATTTGATTTACAGCAAGCAGATCTTACGGTACAGTAATGATAGCATAAGTATGAAACCCATCATTGTCGGATTCCAATTACGCGCAGTTCGAACTTCGGATGCCCGGTGAGGTTGTTCCACGTGATCAAGTACACCACTCAGGTGTACGTCTGGGAAGTTTCGATGTGCGGAAGGAAGTGCATCATGAACAGCGAGAAGATATCCCACAGAGATCCACTGAATATGAAAGGTATCACCTCAAGTCATTGGACAACAGACGGAGCTTTAATTGTATGCGATACCAAAGGAAATATTTACACGGTATACACTTGCATTCTTTATTCGATTTGAATAAATTAGTAGTATATTTTAGTTGAGTACCGATTATAAACTAGACGAGATTATCCATTGGGACGAGGATGGTCCTAACACGGCCACGTTCTGCTGGCACAAGAATGGAGCATTAATTCAAGGTTGCACTGGAGAGATTCGAGTATTTTTTAAGTACTTGAGCTTAGCTTATTTCTTAATTTTTTCATGTTTAGCATTATGTAAAGACTGGTGATTGGGTCTTAAATTGGAGTGTACATACCCCATTGTCGATTAAGAAGTTCAACGGACGTGAACATTTAGTTTGCATCACTCAAATCAATGACGTTAGACTATTCAATGAGCAGACCAAAGATTTTGATAAAGTCTGTGGAGATTCTAGCAGAATTAGTGACTTTGCAATAATATTTCCAAGAGGAAAGACGTTTGTGACTCTATCACACCAACGTAAATTAAACTTGTGGAATATAGCAACCGGTTTATTGGTATACGTTTAATGAATAATTTAAGTACAAAATCATTATAGAATTATGTTGTAGCTGAATCGTATTAAATTTGAAGGCGAAAAACTGGTAGAAATAGCATCAAATCCCAAATATCCTTACGTTGCTGTTACCAACAACTTGGGTATGCTTCGTTTATACTCCGCGCTCGAAGATACTTTAGAACTGATGACTTCTTTTCAATTATGTAGACAACCCTTGAATGTAGTCAAATTCTTCGAGGATTCTAAAATAATTGTCACAGGGAACATGGATACTGGAGAACTATTTGTTATAGAAGTAACTTTGTAGATATTAACTTTAATCCAAATTAACCTATTGTTTTCAGGGAGTTCCTGGGTCAAAGTTCAATATTATTGGAAACGTATCTGCTGATGCACAGTTAGCTGATTTAATTTTAGTTGGGAGCAAAGCTTGTATTCGTTTGTTTACCATCGTGATTACATCAAATATGTTTTGCGCAGGCAACAATATAACGCGTTTCTGCATCACTAAAGCAGGAACGACGGTGAAAACTTACGAACTGGAACATCCGGAACGCCTTTACACGCGATTATACGTCTCCCTGGACCCGCAAAAAAGAGATCGCATATTCTATGCCACCCCAATGGATAATAAGAATCTTCATGAATTGGAAACTAAACGAGCGGTAAAAAGGCTTTAATCAATTTGGGTATTTATTTGATTGTTTATTTTTAGGATACGCACGCTCGTATAATCAATCGAATTCCATCCGGACATTGGATGAAGCGAATTTGTTATTACTTTACAGAGCAATACATCCTCACTTATGGCTACGATGGTTTAATCATGGTTAGACCAGCGAACGATATGACCCAGATATTGTACACTTTGATGCCTCATCATCGTATAGATTGTGGAATCAAAAGAGCTGCAGCAACGCCGGATCTTAAATATGTGATCTCCTTAGGTTTCGATAATATACTCGTTGGAACATCTGTAACAGATATCAAAGTCAATGAAGAATATGAAGCCAAGGTCGAGTTGCTAATGCAGGAATATACCGAGATGTTCTCCAAACCTACTATTGGCTTTATTCCTATTGGTAGAATTTTATACATATTCATAATTTGAAGAAAATAACTTTATTTTTTTAGGTATTTTGGAGGGAAAGGCTTGGTCTGAATATTACGAGCTTATGAGAATCGAAGGCGAACGTATCAAGTATGAAAAAGAACGCAATTCAATCTTAAAGGAATTCCAACGCATCAAGACTGCTGTTTGCGATCTCTTGACGCAGAACTCGGAAGGACCAGAAAACGAACTTCTGGATTTGCAGGATTTCAATTTAGATTTGAACTTGAAGGAAGAAAAGATTAAAGCTTCCAAAGAAAAATGCGATAACACAAAAATGTATTTGGAAAATTTGATAGCGGAAGAAACTCGCGTCTCAAAGTTAATCAAAGAGAGGTTTTGGGATAAGATTAGTGTCCAGAAAAGAAATATGTGGGCAATCTTTGGATTCTTCGATGTTAACAGCTATGCTATTCCACCAGCTGATGGAATAAAGCAGGAAAATCTAGTTAAAATTCAAAAGAATCGAGAGATCGAAGAGTTACTTGCCTCGGACACCTTCCAACCTTGGAAATGCATCACTGAAGAGTTGCTTTATACGAAATCAGCTTTATGTCTTCAATTAATTGCTTATATTTTAGGGAATTAAATGAAAAGCTTAATGTTAATCCACATCTTAATATGAACAAGGAACAAAGTTTTATTAACTTGGAGGATGATGAAGAGGAGGAAGAAGAAAATGAGGAGCTAATAGAAAGACAGAATGCTGAATTTGAAACGTATACGGCTTTGTGTGGTAGTACAATTCATACTTTTGTAGATTTGGACCCAGGTCATTACACTCAACCTGAATTGCAATCATTCTATCAGCATTACTGGGATCTTTACATGTCAATGGTAAATCTAATTATGCTATTCTATTCTATTAGTAATGGTGACGATATTCGTTTATTTTTTATTTTTAATAGAATGAACAGCAAAAATTGATGGAATTCTTTAACCAAAAGTTTGAATCAATGAGTCAAACAAAAATTCACGAAATGAGCAGCATCATGGAGAAAAACGCTCGATTGAGGTATCTGCTGGACGAGTTAAACTACTTTTCTAAAAATAAATTGAGCATTATCATTTTTGATCCTGAATGGATGCAAGATGAAAATCCTGAAATGCTGACTAAAGTTGATAGCAGTGAGGTAATGATATATAATTAACATGAAATGAAAATACTGAGTTTAAATATAAAAATCTATACCTACTTTGACTCCAGGTTTCTATTACACCATATATATCTCCAAGTGAACAAGATTTGTTGGACGCTGAAGCTGCAGAAGCTGAAAGAATTAGACTCTTACGTTTGGCAGATGATTTTAAAGAGAGAGCTTTAATGAAGATGATGAATGGTGTGTTGGAGGTTCGGTGGGAAGAGGAATTGCGAAAAGAAGTTCCAAAACCGAAATGCATGGTCTGTTTCTTGTACAGTAATTAATACTAATATTAATTATTTCTGAAATTATAGTTGGAAAAGCAACCTGAAAAGTATAATGTTGATGACTTGAAGGATATTAAAGATTACGAAGCAGCCGTTGTATTCCTAGCCTCGGAAAGGGAAAGATACAGAGTTATTCTTCAAACTGAATACACGAAATTAAGCAGTCAATTACGAGACAATGTTAAGAAATTTAATGATCGTTTGCAAGAGCTCATGATTCTAAAAATCCAAGTGGAATCGGCTAATACTAACGAAATGTTAAGAGCAAATAGACTAAGGCAATGGGAAATCAAGCGCAATTTGATGGACAAAGAAGATAATGATATAATGTAAATTAACATTAAAAATAAAAAATGTACCAAATTTATTTTGTTTCAGGAAATTGATAAGTCAAAACCAATCGACTACCAACTCATTGTCCTCTCTAGTTGCATCGCTGAAGGAGTTTAAAATGGAAATACGTAGTAACTTGGAGATGCTACAAAGCAAGGAAAAATTTTTGGATAAAAATTTCCGGAAAGATTTCCAAGACGTCAGCACTGCTGTATTTGAGATGCTCGTCAAACTCTACAAGTAATAATCTTAGAAGTGTTATTTAATTTAATTAATGATATTTTTGGTTGCAGGAAGAGACCCAAAATTAATTTACGAACCATAGGTTCAACCTGCGTTCTCAACGTTACATCACAATGCGTTGTTAATCATACAAGATCGATTTTGTTATTACCTGAAGCCATCGAGTATTTAAACTCTTTGGATTTTTTGGATAAATTCGTTGGTCTTCCTTTGGTGATTGATGAACATAACTATTCGGTGCTCTGCCGTCATCGAAGATTGAAAATAGAAAGCGAGATCAAGGTATTAGTATTATGTTTCGTAAATCTTTACTTTTAATATTATTTCTTAGATTAGAGCCAGCGCCATGGAATTAACTGAAGCCGAAAGTACAATAGATATGTTTGAGAAAAGATACATCAAATCGCGCGATCTTCATTCTATTTTGATTAAGAAACTAGAAGATTTAAGAGAGAAGAAGTTTCAGCACAGTTTGAATATAGAATTGCAGATTGTCCTGAAAGAAGGATTCGTTGAGATACCGCGGACAGGAAGCATGGATGATTTCAAAGATGCCCTTATCATTTCTAGAGCTGACGTTGAACATATCAACGACGTTATTATAGTTATTTATTTTTCTGGAATTTTGTTTATGTAAATTTAAAATTATATATTTATAGGATGCAGGAAAAAAGAAAATTAAAGCAATGAAAAACGCTATGTGTTTTAAGCGGGAAATAATGCTCAAGGAATGGGAGCACAAGAAGAAGAAAATGGAGATCGAAGATTTGCATTATAAATTAGCAGATATTAAGAGTGTTAAGGTGTGAAGGTTATTCTTTTAGTTAAAAAAAAATGTTGTAATTATCATTTGCAGCTCACGAAAGTACTGCAAGATTTCTTAAAATCCAAAGCTCGTGGAGAGAGTGCAGATAAGTTGTTGTCGTTTGAACATGAAGTCGAATTGGCTAAACTTAAATACGTGAAAATGATCAATGAGCATAAGCAGAAAATTAAAGAGATCGAAGGAAAACTGGTCCAACTAGAAATAGAAAACAAGAAGATTGACAAGCAAATCAAGAAAGTCAATGTTGATGTTTGTGATTACCAACTACATTTTGACAAGAACCTCGAGAAGAAGGAAAAGGAGTTTTTAGAGATGAAGTATGTATTCTTTATAACTGAAAAAAAAATCGAATAACTAAATATAATTGTTTTCAGAATAAATGCTTACTTGAAGAGGGCGAAGCTCGTGTCTCAAATCCAGTCCAACCATAACGAGATATTGGTTTTGCAAGCTGAATTGGAAATACTGAGGCTGAAAACGTTTCCCGTTCTCGATTACAAAATCGACGAGTAGTCTCGTTTTTATATGTATTTATTATTATTTTTAATTTCAATAAATCTATTTCATAATATTGTAATCTTGGAGTTAATAGCCTTTGTGATAACACCGATGACTCGGCTAAGGTCAATTATATAAAGTCGAAATAGAATTTGTGTTTCGCTAGTCGCTGACAAAATGACCAAGGAGAAGGTTATCTTAGCTTATTCGGGTGGTTTGGACACCAGCTGCATCCTCAAATGGTTGCTGGAGAAGAACTATGAAGTCATCTGCTACATGGCCAATATTGGCCAGGAGGAAGACTTTGATGCTGCCCACCAAAAGGCTATGAAAATCGGCGCCTCTAAGGTAATTTTATGAGCAAAAAAAAATGCATTACGTAACAAACATTTTGATTCCATCCAATTAAATTGTTATTATTTTCATATAATCAACAATATTTGGTATAAGTGTTTGATTTTTCGTAATGAATATTAAAATTTTATTCAAATTACGCAGATACAGTATTAATAACATATTTTGTTTTTGACTATTAGTTGATTACAAAGTCAGTCAACATTTCCTTGCATAATTTTTAATGTTTATTAATGATATTTTCCTAATATTATCATATAGATATTGTGTTGACAAATATACATTTTATTATATAGTATTTATTGCATAAACTATCAACTTTTTGTAAAATTTGTTTTTTTTATGACAAATAATGACTCTTCAGTTTTATAATTAGGTTAAATCTGACAATTGTATTCATTATCAATAATATTATATGTTTTTTTTTTAGTTTTTAGTTGATTGCATAATATGTAAGCAATACTAATTGTTATTGATATATTTTAGGTCGTCATTGATGACCTTAGAGAATCGTTCGTGAACGATTACGTCTGGCCAGCAATCCGTTCAGGATTGATCTATGAGAACCGTTATCTTCTTGGTACATCTTTGGCACGTCCATGCATTTCGGTGGGACTCATGAAATGCGCTCAAGCTAATGGCGCTCAGTACATTTCCCACGGAGCGACGGGAAAAGGTAACGACCAGGTCCGATTCGAGTTGTCCTGCTACTACATCTGTCCCAAGATCAAGGTAATAATATAATAAAAGAAGATGAGATGATCATTATCAAATAATCTTAACTATGTAATGTAATCGTAGGTGATCGCACCATGGCGTATGGACGAGTTCTGCAAGCGCTTCCAAGGTCGTCAAGATCTTCTGAAGTACGCCGCTGAGAACGGCATCCCGGTTTCCGTGACTCCTAAGGCACCTTGGAGCATGGACGCCAATCTCATGCACATCAGCTACGAGTCCGGAATCTTGGAGAACCCAAACACCGAAGCACCGGAAGATCTCTTCATGATGACCAAGAACCCGCTCACCTGCACCTTGAAACCGATGAGAATCGAAATCGAATTCTGCAAGGGAGTACCTGTTCAATTGAAGACAGCCGACAAAGTCATCAAGGATAATCTCCAGATTTTCTTGTACTTGAACAAACTAGGAGGAGACTTTGGTATCGGCAGAATCGACATCGTTGAAAACAGATTCATTGGTCTTAAAGTAATGTAAACAGCGTAATAATTATAATTAATATTAATTGTATCCATTTTATCTAGTCTCGCGGTGTATACGAAACCCCAGCTGGTTTCATTCTGCACGAAGCACACACCGATTTGGAGGTCTTCTGCATGGATAAAGAAATGTACCGCGTCAAGCAGAGCCTGCGCGACAGATTATCCGATTACGTTTACAACGGATTCTGGTTCTCACCGGAAGGTAATTACGTAAGGAAGTGCATTGAGCTTGCCGAGGAGAACATCACCGGCAATGTTAAGTTACTGTTGCATCCAGGAGCAGGTAAGAAAAATCAAAAGATAGTAATGAGCGTTGTTAATCTTGTTATTTTTTTCTGTTTAGTAACCGTTTTGGGACGCAGCTCTGCGTACTCCACCTACAATGAGGATTTGGTGTCCATGGACAAACACGCCGATTTCAGCCCAGAAGATGCTTCCGGTTTCATCAACATCCAAGCAATTCGTCTTAAGGAATTCAGGAGACTGAACATCAACCAATGAATATTCAATATAATTTGAACAAGATTAAAACAACTACAAATACAACTTACAACTAATATTGTGTCTTTTTTACTTCTGTTCCCATATTGAAAATATTTAATAATCTTTATTGAATACATAATATATGCTGCATTTAAATTACATTATAATGCTTTCAAACCTTTGTTATTGTGTCTTTACAAAATATCAATCAATAATTCTTCCAATCGAAAAGCGGAGGTTGTTTTAAAGATGACAAAATTTAATTTACATTCAAAGTTCTGTAGTAATCAAATATCAAAATGTGAGAAGAATCTCATAAACCCTCTGGTAATTCTTGAACTAAAAACTTCTTTTGATGACTAAATAAAACCTAATATAAATTCTTAATTCTTACATCTTAGAATATTACTTTGACGGTTACTTCAACTTTCTAGAAAAGTTGTGTGCTTGGTAATAGAGATACATTTTTAACATTGAACCAAACTAATTCTAAAATTTTACATAATTACCCGATTTAAAAATAATTAATTCCAATGCAACCCATATTTAGTATGCATTTTAATATACCAAACACTTCTCCAGTTATTTGAAAATCTTAAGAAAAAGTCACGTAATTATAAGAAAATACTTAGAGAATCTTTGGTTATTCAAGATTATATTTGTTTAAAAACAATGAATTTTTTTCATATTGTGTTATTAAAATTAAACAAGATTCGATTGGAATAACTGTTTGTTTATTACAGCTAGCGCCACACGAAATTCCTGTCTCAAACTAAGAAACGATGGTTACGCCATCTCCAAACACATCTGCTGTACATGTTGCAGCCGTAAGGAATTTGTCTTCAAAGAAATAAAAGTTGAGTTGCTAAATACTTCTTTATTTTTTTAATTTTCTAAAGTGATCAAATTGTTTTGCGTTGAATAGTTTTACATCATAAGGATATACGGTTTTCTTTATTAATAATAGTTTTGTTTAAATTTATTGCTGTTACTTTTGGTGGGAAAACAAACATGAGTGGAAAAGACATTGAAATAAAGTGTTTAAGCAGTTTGAATGAGTATTTATCAGCATGTGATAATTCAGTAAATGCAGTATACTTATCCCAAATACCTCAAGTATGTAAAGATCACCCATGTGTACTTGGTATTGATGAAGCAGGAAGAGGCCCTGTATTAGGTTAGATTTAATCCATTATATTTTTGAATTTTCTTATTTTTTGATGCATTATTTTAAGGACCCATGGTTTATGGCACAGCTTTTTGTCCAATAAATAACTTACAGTTATTAGAGACTCTGCAGTGTGATGATTCAAAAGCATTAACAGAAGAGAAGCGAGATGATATTTTTGGGAAGATTGGTGATAACAGGAACAACATGGGATGGGGCATTGAGGTGATTTCCCCAAATTTCATTTGTAACAATATGTTGAGTAGAAGCAAATATTCCTTGAATCAAGTCTCAATGGACTCTGCAATTGGACTAATTAGGGCTGCTAAAGAAGGTGGTGTTAACATTGCCCATATCTATGTTGATACAGTTGGAAAACCAGAAAAATACCAAAGCTATTTATTATCACTCTTTCCTGAATATAAAATTACTGTAGCTAAAAAAGCTGATTCCACCTATCCTATTGTCTCAGCAGCTAGTATTTGTGCCAAAGTATCTCGAGATCATGCACTGCAAGTGTGGAAGTTCCCTGAAGAAATTGGTAATGTCCTTCATAAGGATTTTGGAAGTGGTTATCCTGGAGGTAAATATATTTTTTAATAATAATGTCACAAATATATAAAACTAGTCTATTTCAGATCCAGTTACTAAAAAGTTCTTAGTGGACCACTGTGATACAGTATTTGGATACCCACAATTAGTGAGGTTCAGCTGGTCAACTGCTGGTAACGCTTTGGAGAATACAGCCTATCACGTAGAATGGGAAGACATAGAGGACGAGGACCAGAAGAAACCAGAAAACAATACATCAATAACATCATTCTTCAAATTCACTAAGCAGAGTTCGACGGAGAAAAAACAGCATGAATTTTTCAATAGGAGATGCTTGAAAAGCACAACGGAATTGTGATCTGAAGTTACTATTTTTATACGAATTTCTTTATTTATAAATACACTTTTTTAATTGTATACATCAAAGGTGCAGCTAATGCTAAGCTAAGGAATAACCATTTCCTGCTATTCCAACGTTTGTCACTTCTTGAGCAAATGAAGTCCACCTGTTCGTTGTCTTTCTCCCACTAAAAATCAATTTGATCGTTATTGGAAAAAAATACATAACTTAATATAAATACCGTTTGGATCCTTCTGCCCAAAGCAGTCACCGTTCTTTCTAAAGACTTTAATTTACGGCAAATCCTATCAATATCATTGACTAAATTGGTATTTGTTAAATCTTTCAAATTTAATCTTAAATATTTAACGGCTGATTCCATTACTACTAAATGACGTAAGCTTGTTATAATTGAAATTCCAACGTTCACCGTAGTCTGAGCTTCACCTTTCTTTAGGTAGTTAATCGATTTGGGCAAGTAAGGATACTTATGGAATTTGAAGAGCGCACCCAAAATTCTATCCTGCTGATACGGTTTAAGAATACCGAAACCGATTAGATCCTCGCGCGTCAATGTTAGGAATCGCTTTAAATTTATGTTGGAATCTACGAAGGTTTCTATGAAATTCGGGCTGTCGCATGATTTCAACATCAAAATAACATCTCTGAGAAAAGTTTGTCTAAAAAATAATAATAAAGAAAAGTATTTTGTGTTGTATATACAATATAGTCTATTACTAACTCGTACAATTCTTCTTGGAAAATATATTGGCTATTTTCGTTAATGTAATATTCATAATTATTCTCAGCTTGTGGAAGCACCTTTATGATGTCGTGAAAATCATATTGTATAGCATAATCTAAGCATGTGCATCCCCTAACATCAATCGTTTTTCCATTAAAACCATTATCAAGTAATAATTGACAAGTTTCTACATGGTTTGAGCACACTGCCCAAAACAATGCATCCCAACCTTGATTGTCAATGTCATCCTTTTTGCAGATATCCAAAAGCAATTTGATTGCTGGAAGATTCCCATAACTTGCAGCGCACATCAAAGGTGTAACCCTCCTGTTATCACAAACATTGGGATCTGCCCCACTATCCAAAAGCAATTTAATAGTCTCAATTGACTCTTGCTGTGGGTTATTCTGATGAGAACATGAACATGCTGCCATTAATGGTGTCACAGTATCTAACAAGAAACAATTAGTAAAAATAATGCATGTTATTAATTTTTGTAGATAGAAACTTACTTCTATGCAGCTTGATATCTGCCCCTCTAGAAATAAGTTCTTTTGTAAATGAAAAATTCCCAAAAGTAGCAGCAAAAATCAACAGTGTCCAACCATCTGGCAGTATAGTATTAACATCAAATCCTACAATATTAAACAGTCATAAAAGTAAATTGAATCTTAACTAATCGAACCTTCATTTAGATAATCAATGATAGGTGCGGTGTGATTTATGCTTGACAATCTATAGACATCTTGCCTTATTTGTTCTTGCTTGTCTTTTTCAGTCAATTCAGGTTTTGGTGCTTCTACAACCTAAACAAAATTACGAAAAAAAATATATCTGCACTTGTAATTAATTGTTGTATACTCACATTACTGTAATAGCAATCATCAAACTCATCACTAGAATCATCTGTATAACATCCTGCAGGTCTCATTTTGTCACAGGAAAAAATTGCAAAAACTCAAATAATATGGATATAGCGAATCCAAGTAGAGGTTAGTTTCGAAAACAAACTGATCCCAACTTGATGGAACAAAAACAATTCGCAATAATTCTTTCCTGTTACATTTTGTCATTGAAACATTGTTAAAATAAAGAGATTTATTTATTCATATCTTCAATGTATTCTGATGATTTTCATTCTTCATGATCATCATTTTTATAAATACATTTATTGAAAAGGGGATTTCCCATCGTCTTATATTTTTATAAAGTGTTGTCAATAAAATATTTTAGAATTTTCTTGGTCTTTCTTTATTGTTTCTCTGTTAGAATTTTTTAACCTTTTAAAAACTTCACCCTCCAAAAAAAAATGTTAATATGAAATCTTCTTGTTTCATTTCATTTAGACGAAAGTTATTACCTTTCCGGTAATATTAATTAGTAGTAAATAATTAAAATTACCTTCATCGTTGCCTACAGAAATTTGAAGATCTTCATTTTTAGATATTATTTATAATGAAGTGGACTTAGACTTTCAAATTAATTTGTTTAATTATTGAACTAAGTGTGACATATATATTTTAAAAATTATCATATACTATGAATATACTTAATCACAAATTATTGTTTGAGAGTTAAATTATGAACGTTACTACAGTCAACAACAAAAAAATTAAAAACCCAATTTCAAAATTTGTTAAAACAAATGTAAAAAAAATAGTTCTTTAATATTTGAATGACTCACTGTTTTATCACTGTAATGAGCTTTGATTCGTATATCCTGAATTTTATATTTAATAGATAAAATAATTTGTAGCAATTTGATGCTTTATATTTCTATTTATAAAACTAAACTTCTAAATTAAAAACAATATTATAAAAATCAATGTTCGAACTAAATCTTCTAGATATTTTTTTTAAGATATTAATACTATATGAGAACTTATAAAACATATAAATGTATTTTATTGTTTACTTTTTTTAACTGCAATTATTATTTATTATTATTGTGAAAGGAAGAAATACAAAATGCGTAAAATATACAGAACTGATAATGTGTAAAAACAAACTTTATTATTAATTATAATTATCATTTATATAAGGAGATGAATAAACTTTACAAACTTAGCAAATCTAGATACATTAAAATATGGAAAGACAATAAAAGAACAAAATATATGAAAAACAAAATACTTAAATTATTAAATACGCATATATCTATTACGTTTAAGAATATCTACGTTTAGTTTACCTGATTTATTTCCTCTGGAAATTTTAATTTGATCATCTTTGCTGGAATTTGAACGATTTTTATTCACCTCTGGTATTTTGCTGCTTGTATCTTCAATTTGTACATTATGAGTTTCCGCGATACAACTATACTTTATATTTTGATCTTGAGGAGTTTCTATTTCCATTGGTTGTGTATCACATATTTCCATTTCTTCGATAATTTCTTCCTGTAAACTTACAAAAGGAGTTAAACCTTCTTTGTTTTGATTATCACGATTATCTTCATATGTAGAGTCTAAGAACAATTTCTTCCTTGATGTCTTGCTTGTGGTCGTTATACAAACATCTTTTGGTTCTTCTTCAGGCGAGAAGAGAAGTTTCCTTTTGTATCTGCCATCGTAAGAAGTCGTTGGTAAATCCATGTTGTTGTGCATCTTCACTTGCTTCTTGCTACTGAACAACTAACTTATTTTTGAAAAATGCTGTTCCTACATATACCTTGTACATCCAGAACGTTATTTTATTGACAAATCGTAAAGTAATAAAATGGTATTTTTTTCAGAATTCGGTAAACCTGAAATTTATATATTTGTGAGTTAATAATAAATTCTGCAAATTTCTAAAGAAGTATTTTAAAAATATGTACAATCTACGTGATAGCTGTGGAAAAATGTATGCTGTGAGTATACCTGTAAAGTGAAGGACCTCACCCTCGCGTCTTTACCTGATAATGAAAGAAAGCCTGTATTCCTAGAATTTCAATCTTTTATTATTGTTATTCGACCCAAAAATATTCCTTGATATTCTAAGAAGCAAACCGCTTATGATTAACGCTAATGAACGATATTAATAATTTCTAATACAAATTTTCCTAACATAAGAATAATCCTATTCATGCTATTTTTGAAAAATCCATTAGAAACCATGGAAATTAATATACGTTTTCGGGTTGAAAATGTTCTTCCTCTTGATGTTCTTCGGATTCTTGTTCAAGATCAAGACTATCCTATTTTAATTCGCGCGCGCTCGCGCCTGTTTGTATATTTTTTTTGGATACACATCGAACATATATTAACAAGTGGTTTCGATGTGTGTTCAGTGAGTAAAAAACCGCATCTTATCCAATTTTATCAGTGCCCGGTTTCCGCTCGATTATTGCACTTGGTGCTACGCAAAGCCGAGCGATGGAGCAGAAAAAGAACGTTATTATTCTAGGTGGTAAGTTTCAATTTTTGAGGATGTTCTTAACCTAAAACTAGATCAAATTAACGGTATTTTGCGTTTGAATTATTGTCAGGATGTGGATTTATTGGAAGGAATCTAGTCGCCTATTTGGTCTCCAATAAACTAGTCAATAGGCTTCGAGTAGTGGATAAGGTGCCACCTCAGGTGGCTTGGCTACACCCTGAACACCAGAAGTACTTCGATGATCCCATTGTGGAATTCAAACATGCAAACTTGGTTGTCTTAGGTACTGTGACTCATCACTCATTATCAATATGTATATAATGAATCATTATTCTTAGAATCATGCAAAAACGCCTTCTTAGTTGACGATGAGATTAGTGGCTGGGATTATGCCATCAATTGTGCTGGTGAGACTAAATATGGACAAAGCTCCCTGATTTATAAAGAAGGTGTTTACAAGCTGAGTTCCCATTGCATTGAGGTAGCAACATTATGCAAAGTGAAGCACTATATTGATATATCCTCTGGTCAAGTATTTTCCTCAGACAAACCAGGCGATGAGGAGCATGATTGTGCACCTTGGACTTATGTGGCCAAATGGAAACACGAAGTAATTATTGAATATGTTTTTAATGCTAACAAACAATATTCATAAATTAATTCAGATAAGGTCTACCATTAAATTATTCATATCATGTAGAAATCATATAATTATATATATATATATTTTTGTTTTATTTAAGCAAATATATTATTTATTCAACAGGCAGAAAGTATTATCAGAAAATCGAGAACGAAATGTACAATCTTGAGACCAGCTTTGGTATATGGTAGAGGCGATAGACAAGGATTGACATCGCGGGCAATGGTAGCTGCAATCTACAAATTCCTGAATGAACCAATGAAGTTTCTTTGGGATAGCGACATTAGAGTGAATACAGTTCACGTGGACGACCTGTGCAGAGCAATTTGGTATGTCTGCGGTCGCGAGGAAGCTGTAGGCCAGGTAAGATTTAATTTATATTATATATCATGAATTGTACAAGAACATTCTCATCAATTATTTATAACAAAATAAGTTTAAATAAGAATTATCAGATAGTAGATAACATTCAGTTAGTCATTATAATTGAATTATTATAATAACTATTGATTATATTTGATAAAATAGATTGAAGCTATAGTTTTGTTTGTTTGTAGACTTCATTTATATTAGAAAACTTACTCTCCTAAAAAATAATCTATTTAATTATGAATTTTATTATTTAAAAAAATGAGTTTGATTAACAAAATAAAGTCAAGATTTCGAAAAAAAAAATTAATGTTCTAAATACTGTGACTATTGTTATGATTGTCCCTTTGATTGAATATGAAAAAATGAGTTTAATTAACAAAAGAAGAAAGTCAAGATTTCGAAAAAGATATTTAATGTTTTAAATACTGTGACTATATGTTATAATTGTCCCTTTGATTGAATATGAATGAGAAGCTTGAGGTCAGTTTGTTGTATGTCCTAGTGATAATTTCAAAAAGATTCAAATGAAAATATGTTTATATTTGTTGTTTTTCTTTTTACAATTTGTAGATATACAACGTTGTGGACCAGGCGGGATCGACTCAGGGAAGTCTAGCTTCGATGCTCTCCGAGATTTTTAAAGTAAAGGTTAGCTATTACGGAAATCTGGTGTCATCGGTGGTGGACCTGGGCAACGCCGCCGACGAAGCGAACGACAAGCATTTAGTTGCATGGGCGAATGCCTGTCAACAGGACGACATCCAGAACACGCCACTGTCCCCTTACATGGACTTCGAGTTGCTTCAGAACAAACACTTGAACTTGGATGGGACAAAACTGCGTAATCTAGGATTCACTTACACCGTGCCAAAGCCCACTGTCGAGTCAATCAGAGAGGCGCTCAAGTACTTCCTTGACATGAAAGTCTTCCCACCATCTTTGGTACCTTGATTATTACTATATCTACAGCATCACAGCCTTATACTATTTTCTACATCGAGTACTTAAACGAAAAAAAAAAAGGAATTAATTTCAAATACATTCCAACTCACATACACGCGCATACATATATACTTAAGTTTAGTTTTTTTTCTCTCCTTGGAAGTGGTTTCAAACATTTGCTCAATTTACTTAATTTTAATGCAACCCATGTAATTCCTATATATGCATATATATACATATAAATATAGATTATCTATATTGTTAATATACAAATATTTTCATTTTAAACTTTAATTTGACACCATCTCGTCAAACAGAATCAACAACGGCTTATTATATTCGCTCGACCATTGTGAGCAATAACAACAAACGTATATTGTAATATTATATAATTTTGTTTGGCTTATCATTTATTAACTTGTACGTATCGCTGGATTCCGAGAAGAGGACACCGAGGTCGGGCCGCAGAGGAGTGATGATGATGTTGAACTTCAGTTGATCAGAGTTCAAACCAACAAGAAACTTGCTATCGGGGGTATGCGTGTTATTCATATCTTCGAACGGTATGAAGTTGTCGATATTCAGGATTCTGTCCTGGGCTGTGAAGTAGTGGGCTCGTTCAATTACACGTTTCACGTGTTCAGTCCCGCCTTGTTTCGCGTATAACAGTATACCGATCTTCACTTTGATGTCTTCGCATTCTCCGATGTGTCCACGAAAGGTCAAAGCTAAACGGACGACTTCGTACTTCTGCTCGGGCACCTGCAGCGTGCCTTGCCATACGATGAGGAAGCTCTGCTTGAACCAGACACCTTTTGGATACAGATCTACCATCCATTCGTAATTTCGGTCGTTCTCGCATTCTGCCACCGACATGTGTGTGGAGAATACGAAGGTGCTTGTATGGTAACTAGGTACAGAAAGTACGTTATCTATGATTAACACAGCACTGTAACTATCACAGGTGTACAGTCGAGGTGTCAACAGTCGTCTGCCATCGTCCGTAGAGCATAGTTCCTTCAGTCGATCCACTTGTCCAGAATGGTACATCATTCCCATAGCCATCCTTTCTACAAAAAATTCTTTGTGTTCCTTTATTAGAGGCGACAGTAGCAGATCAGCCAGCTCGCGCGGTGACATCATAGGGAATCGTATATAACTCATCGCTACTTCAATCAGGCTCTTCATATGCAACTGCAACTCGCTTCTGGGAACTCCTGATTGCTGCATCCTAATCTTTTGAAGATCTAACCATCTAATAACGAAATTATAGAGAACCATCTCGTTGTAAACGACAATATCGTTCTGCTGTAGCAAATTCACAAAGAGTTCTGCCTCGAATTCGCTGAATTCTGGTGTATTAGCCACCAGCTCCAAGTTCCATTTGATGTAACTGAGGCATTTCTCGGCAAGTTCCATATGTCCGCATGGTATGGTGTATTGCAACCAAGAAAACAGAACGTTATGTGCAGACGCGTGAGGAATATGGTTGATCATGTAATCAATGCACAGCCACGTTAAACTCTACAAACAAAAATATAGCTATTATTATATTCACGCGCGATAAAAGAAGCTGCCAGTTCAGTTAACTTAGGTTAGCTAATCTTTACCTTAACAATATACTTATCAGCTAAACATAAAATTGCCATAACGTTTGTATGCGTTATAATTATCTTTCCTGTATAAAAGTATTCTAAAAAATGATGAAAAACTGGCTCGCATTGCGGTAATTCCCGGAGCACGACTCTGCTCTCATTCCATTCACTCCATTCTGGCTTCATCAACATTGCCTGAAAATATTTACAATTACATTATTTGCAAATTTTATTTATTCCATATATTATTAATCAGTACATATTTCACATTTTAATTTAATTATAATAATCAATAATGCTTCACAATGTATACATTACAACAATGCTAATACAAATAACTCAAAGTGAAATTAATACAATTTCAATCAGACATAATAAGAATTTGTACCTGCAATTAATTTAATAACTTACTTGAAATACATCACTTGAAGCGCATAAAATAAGCCTGTGTGTTGCATGCTCCTTTTTGCCAACTGTCAAGAAGACATCACACATCCGTTTATCATGGTAAATGTTCTTCATAATCTTTAAAACATGATCTGAATTGTCCACCTAAAGAAGAAGAAAAAAGAAAACTAAGTTCAAGAGATGGATATAAATAAACAAGTAATTTTGGCTCACTGCAATTTGGCAGGTGCTCTCATGGTTGTAACTCATTTTATGCGGGTCCTCTTTTTTCCTGTTCTTACAGTTGGGTTCTTCATTAGCATCCATCAGATTAGTGACAATAACAACAGAATATTAGAGGTTGGAAAATAAAGTTGCAGAAATATAGTAATATTATTTTGTTATAACCTCAACCGAAAAAACGGACCTAATGGGTAAATTCTCACTGATCGCACCACCAAATCTGACAAGCTATTAACACTGCGACATTGATGCCCTTTCCGTAGTCCATTCTGTTCGTTCCGTAATGGATTTACGCTTTAAAAACAAAGAGAAACTTATAAAAATCAAAGACGAACAATCGTGAATTGCGCAAAACATGTAAACATTTTTTTTTTGACAGATGTTACGTTTTAATATGAACATACTCAAATTAAGTATTGTACATATAACTACTTTGTGCTTTTTTTTATATAAACACTTAGTTTAAATTCTGAAATTGCCTTTCTGGTATATTCCAATTAAAAAATATATTAAGAGTAATGTTGGTCACATACCTCAGTTGTTATAAAGCAATTATATTCAAAGTTCTTATGGAATACATTTACTACAGACTAGGACTATACATATGATCCGTATTAAATTTACATTATTTTTTTAACATATATTGTTTTGTACTTCTACAATTTTAATTTAATAAATTTATCTTCAAATTTTTGTACACATATCCATAACAAATTAAATAATGAGAGTTTGTAGGTAAAAAATTATTGTTTTATTATTGTTTAATATAAATATGGAATGTAATATGAACAATCACATATTGGGTTGTCAGGAAAATTCATGCCTATTTTCGCTAAATACCATTGGTGGTGTCTAAATATAAAAGAATTGTGAAAAACAATGAACTTATGTATATATTCTAAAAAGTGAGATTTGAACCGCCTTTAGAAAAAAAAACCGTCATTTTTAACTAAACCGTAACTGTAATCGGAACGAAAAATTGCTCAATTGAAAAACCGAAACCGGAACAAAATTTTAATTACGGTTCAATTTGTCTTTGATGGGATTGGTGTGTTTTGGTTTATTGTTGTGTTGGTCGGTCTATTGTGAACAGAATATATAAACAAACAAAGACATTGATGGAGTCTCTTTGAATACTTTGAATTCTTGTTTCAAATAAACAAAAACATAATAAACAGAACCATCAAGGCCGAATTCCGTGGGAACGCTTAATCATTAATATAAATAAAGCCTCAATCACCACCAATCAACCACCGACAAAAAATTACAAGTCTTGCGCAACTTACATTAGAACAAATTCAAATGAAAGTGATTAAAAATGATATTACTGTAAATATGACCGAAAAAACATTACAAAGTGCATGTGTTGAACTAGTCACTAATTAAGGTTTATTTCTTTTTTATTTTCAATTTTATAATTGAAAACAATAGTAAGGGAATTTGATAAATAAAATTAAACCAAAATTTGATATTTGACTCGATTTAACTAATTTAAATTGCTTTTTTTACATTTTAATTTCTGAAACTGAACATTTACTTGGAACGTAACCGTAAACCGGAACGAAATTAATTGCGATTCGACTCTCTAATTGTCATATAGACATAAAATGTATCATGATTAAGGTTTAGTTGATTTTTGTAAATTGTATTTGAAAGTTAATGCTGAGATTGTAATTGTATTAATGAAATCGAACATTTCTTTAATAACATATATTATTTCATATTTTACACTTTAAAAAAAAATTCAATATACAAAGATATAAAATGCAAACATGGAGATTAAAATGTTATGCGTACGTACATTCCAGCAGTAAACTTGCTATTGATTTGCTGGGATGCACATTAGGAGCATGGGAGGATATGAACAATATTATTTCTATTCGATTGGTAGGCCGGATGGGAAATGGGTAGTAAAATTTATCGCCGCCCCCGGATTCCCAAAAGTCACTTATGTAATACCGTGCTCCCCTTATCACCGTGCGATTCTTTAATGTGTTTTGACAGGTAAAAAGCCGCCGGGAGCGAGGCCAATTTTTTTCGTATTTGTTGTTCCCTCGAAAAGTGTGCTATGTTTTCGCTCAAACAGCGAACATCAACCTCCCCCAAGTTTCCCCCCAAGGCTCACACCTACCGAGCATCTCCGGTTACTCGCCTCGTATTTCTCAATCAGCATTATCCGAATGACGAAGATGAAGATGAAATGTATCCGACTCGAGAATGTACCATTGTTTCAAACGTACCATTTTAAATTTAAACGTTTCTAATTACATTTCTGGATCAATACATGCTAAAAATAATAATGAAGTCAGTGATCTGTAAATATATATTTCATTTTCGTTTCTTTCTTAGTATAAACGTATTTGATGTTCATACGAACGTACACCTTGTCATCGGATATTTATATGGTGCAAATTTATAAACAGACTATAGTAGAGACAAGTATGAATATGTATAGGAAATCGTGAGACATAATTACTACGGTAATAACTGATTTAAACTGTAAATGAGGATAAAAATCAATGGTAAAATATTTTCAAATGTTTGACATATTACAATTTCTTGGGAAAATAATGCTACTATAGTACTAATTATTAAGTTGTTGTTGAAAGTTTTTATACTATATAATTGATCAGTACATAGCTGCGTAAATGTCCCACTGCCATAATTAATTGTACGTTCGTACGAATATTTGTATGTTACTTCAGTTAAATGACAGCATATAATGATGAATTATCGAACGTATGTTAAACGTGCACTGAAAGTTCTTCTAGATATTATAAAAGATCAACCTTTTTCTATTTTATTTTGTAACTGGTTCAACCGACATAATTGTACACTATTGTTATTTATACATTACTCCGGACAGAGAAATAATCATGTACGTATTTTCAAACGTATGATAAATGAATGTACATAATGTGAACACTGATTATATAATTAAAAGACAGCTTTTCCCAATGATCCGAATTATTAATGTTTGCCAATCAATTTTAAGATGACTTCAATCCGTTTTTATTAATTTTCTAAATATTTCCTGTATTTTATTTAGCTGCTGCTTGATTGGTTATTTATACGTTAGTTCAAACAGTGGATAAATAATCATTTACGTATTTTCAAATGTTTACTGAAAACACAGATTTTACTAATTCATACATTATAATTTGCGACTGATTCGACTGATATAATTGTACGTTCATATGGTTATTTGTATATTAGTTCGAACATGAGGCTATAAATAATCATGTACTTATTATTAATTGTACGATAAACGTACTTTCATGAAAAGCGAGTTCTAAAAAAAACATAGCTCTTCCAGTTGAATTGAATTATTCAGAGCTGGAGCGGAGGCCCATTCATAACTTTATTCAATTCCGTTACATAAAAGAAAGGTCCCACTTACAAAAATTAATTAAGTGGTTTGTTCACTTTATTTTCCTTGATAATTATTGGAGTGTGAATAAATAACCTTTGGCTTTGGTTTTGAAGATCATCAAAAGAAACGATTAACTTTTATCCAGGAAGGGAAAAAGAAGAAGAAGAAGAATGAACATAAACAACAACAAATTATCAATGGGCAGACAAAAGAAGAAAGCTGAACTTTAAATTTGTTTATTTTTCGGCGAGCGGAGAAGATGAAATCATCGCCAGATGAAACTCATTTAACACGATACTCGTAAATCTAGTTCCTCCAACTGTGATTTTCATTAAAAAACTTCGCGCCCTATTCAAATGCTAAACGTCGTTCGTTATGTATTGTTTTTTTTTATTTTCTCCTCTTTCTGTTGTTTCCCGTTTCGAGCTTTGAGCCATTAAAAATTTAACTGAATAACGTAGCTCGTGTTCCGCAAGTTAATTTCAGTAATTTCATTATTATTATTAACGTTATTCGGAAATCGCGTAACGAAAGTTTCCACTCTGTGTTTTTTTTTAATTAAAACGCTCCTAGGCAACAATTATGGTGAAACCTACACATTTCAGTTATTTAGTTAAGATATAAATGAATTTGTTTGCGGCTATTATTACTGTGTTATCCTTTCGAGTACGTGATACGAAAAGGATTTAATCAGTTCAGCTCTGATGGGTTTTTAATAAATCCTGAACTCGTTGACAGAACATATTGCCGATAGGACGATAATAATCGCTGCTGCGACATAAGAATGCTTCCATGGAAAATGTTGCATATTTTTTTTGTATTCTTGTCTGTTTGTTTGCTTGCTTGTTTGTTGTCATGTTGGGTGGCTTCTAGATTGCAATTTCCAACGAAATACAACAACGAAATCAAACAGAAATTTCTGTCCTAGACATTAAGCGTGGACGAACACCAAACAGATCGGATTTCAATATGTATACTATGCAAATAGGCCGGTTCCGTTTTACTGCGAGACAATTAAAAGCTCTAAAAAACATGTTTTTCGCCCACGCAAAAAAATGTACATGTGCAAAAATACAAACTTTGCAACGAGTGTTATTAAACGTTTCACTACATTGTTGCAAATGCTTTTCGATTGTTTTAATCCGCATAGCGCAACTGGTATAAAAAATGTTTAGTTGTACAATATTTCTATACTTCATATAAATACAATATAATATATGAACCGTTTATTTTGAAAATGTTCATTTGACAATTTTTTTGTTGACTAGTAACGTTTATAATTTGAAGTTAACTTAAAAAAACAGTAATTTGCGGTTAAGTGTATTCAAATTATATGATAATTTTGAACACATAATGCTTTTACATTTAGTTTAATAATTATGAACATTATTTTGAAAGTGACCTAAGTCCACTTAATTATTGATAATATCCGAAAATGCGGATCTTCAAATTTCCGAAGATTAATGTGTATTCATACGGTGGCAATCGCTAGCTCGACAAACGAAATACCGTCAATCAAATTCCCAACGTTTGAAATTCCGACTGCTTGAAATGCCCCACGTTTGAAATGCCGACTGTATCGAAATCCCGACTATATTAAAATCCCGACTGTGTCAAAATCCCGACTATATCGAAAATGTCAATAACAATTAATAATCTAATTGTATTTGATATTATTTCATAATGTTCAGGTTAATTATGAATAATTCAACAAAATCAAACAAATTAATAATAATTTATTGTTATGATATAGTTGGGATTATGTCTGTCGGGATTATCGTTGTCGAGATTTTGATATAGTCGGGATTTTGATATAGTGGGGATTTCGAACGTCGGGATTTCAATAAACGGTTTTTCGGTTGTCGGGCTTGCGATATAGACCCGTATTCATAATGTTCACATATTTGTTTGGCATGAAACAACTGCATCAAGAGGTTTATATGAAATAGATTCATACATCTTGAAACAGATTAATATAATATAAGTGAAAGACACATCTTTGTGATAAAATAGAAACTCTCCTTTAAGTTCGTGGCTAAAAATTGTCCTAACTGTTGAACATCAAGACATTCGTTTTTACCTAATGATTGAGATTTTGGCATCGTAGAAATGTCATGAAAGTAAAATAATTTACTATTTGTTTCCTAATGTTATTAAAAAAGTGCCGGAACGGTAATAAATTTATTCTAAAGGAATAATAAAAATTATCAATAAAGTTTTTATTTTTATGTGAAATTAAATGATCGGTTAACAATTGGTATTTACTAGGAAAATAAATGATAAAAAAACATATTGAATATTACATGTATTAATAGCATGATGCACTTTGTCACATTTATAGCTCTGTTTATTGATTATTAATTGATAATAGTCTTATAGGGACCAATTACTTATTAATAGTAATATATAGACCAGACGTACATAATATTTATATTGGTAAATTTGCAAGGACAAAATGATATTTCTTATATTATGAAAATAAATTTGAATTTTGTAACAGTTAATTATTTTGTTATTTTATTCTGATTAAATAAACACGATTTTTTGTAAGTTCTTGAATCGGTCGACCAATATTTTTTTCAATTGGTGTTATTGTAGACAATACATTTTTTTGTAAAAGTGACATATTTTAAATGAAAAAAGTATAAGATCAAGAAGTTCTTCAAAAAAAAAACATAAAACTATTTATATTTTCTTACCAACTTAATAGAAATTAAAAATAAACAGTATAATGTTGAAAAATTATATTTTTTACAATTATTATCCTTAAATCACGTTGCCTCCGGTTGAAGACTACTGTATTATAACAGAAAAGCTTGGGTCAATAGCTTTTTGGTCTAAATAAGGCCAATAAAAATGTGTATATAAATAAATAATTAAAAACATTAAGTTTTGATTAATATGTCATAAAATTAATGAAAAAAATATTGAATTTTGTGAACATCAATTATGCTTGATACTGTTTTCAAGAACATTCTTATCCTGAAGGTTAAAATTAATTACTTTTCAAATTGTTGTCGTATAGTATAACACAGTTTTATTTATACTTTATTTTATCATTTTATTTATACAATTTTTAAAAGTAGAGGAAATAAACACATAACGCATAGTTCTAATAGAGGACCTGAATAAAATAGAAATAAACAGCACATAGACTGAAAAGTTCTGAAAGAACGATCTTTTATGTATAAAACTATATTTGTTGTTGTGAATTTATTTTCTTTTAAAATATATTGATCAATGGTATTTCTTTGTTAGTCGTTGTGTTTAGAGCAAAATTGTGAAATAATGCACACAACTTTTGGTTCAGATATGTATATTAGTTTGTTTGTTTTTTAGATTTTTAATACATTTCGTATTAAAAAAAATTGCTATGAGTTTAATTATAGTTACGTATTTAATTATATTTATATTATGTGATTGTATGCAATTATTCTTGCATTCAATAAAATATATATTAATAATAAATAAAATGACTACTTTTATAAATGATAAAGAAATATGAAATATTATCTACGATGTTCACGGCCAATTTAAATATAATCCTATTCCGACTGATCCCAACCTTCTTATTTGTCCGTTCCGTGAAGAATGGGCATGCATGTACAAATTTGAATACAGCTTTATTTGGTTTTATAAGAAGCCATTTGCATCCTATAGTAAAATTGATTTTCTAAAGCAAACAACAACATCGATGCGTTCATAACAACGTCAGCGACGCTTTTTATAGACGCTCATTGAATGATTGTACAAAAAACAATATAATCTGAACTAATTGTTGAATCTGTTTTGACTATTTTTTGTAATACACAGCAATACTTTCATAGTGCATTCTCTATAAAAGATTGAATATTGTTACAAATTTTTTTATGTACATAAATTATCGTTTTTTTTTTCATTTTATTTAGTTTCTCGATTAGTCAGGTTTCAAACAGGTGGTTTAGCGTTATTGCTGAAGCGTAATATGGAAACCGCCTTATAAGAAACTCAGTGTTTATGCAAATCTGATTAACTTGTACCATGTTCTATGGACAAATAATTCTAATTGTTTACACAAATCAAGTCTAGTTTTTAAATTTTCAATCCATTATTTTGCCTTTGAAAACTAATGGCATTATTTCCTCTTTATATATACTTTAGATTTTATAGTCTCTTTACGAAATAGTTCTTAACATAAGTTGTATTTTATAGAAACATCGTTCTATGCGTTATATAGAAACAGCATTATAAAAATACTGTGTTATAGGAGGCATTACTGTATAGTTTATTAAAGAATTCGCTTATTGAAGTATCTTTCAAGAAATGTTATATCTATTACAAATCTCTCTCTCGTTTTACAAATAAATCTAGATATTGGTTACAATAATCTTCAGAAATAACTTAACCATAAGAAATTAAGCTTTACTATGAATAATTAAGATTTGGTTAAAAAATAGATTTTGGTACTTCCCTAAAAATAACTTTGTAAACAATGCAATTTGAGAAAATAACAAATAACAAAGTGATCATTTTTAATATAGAATTTAATATAACACATTCTTAGATTGCAATTCAATTCATGAAATATTTTAATATACCTCGCATATTGCAATTTCGATTCATAATTTAAATATAAAATACATTTTAATTGAGCTATATACAATAATATTATTAAGACTATTACTATTAAAACATTTTTATTCTATAATATTTTGTACAATTTTACATTGAGTTAAAGTGACCGATTCGAGTAATGTCCGCTATAAACTTTGATTAAATTTTGAAAGCTGTCAAATATTAAGTGTTATATGTATGAGCTCTAGTCTCCAATTGGAACAATGTCTGCTTCACACTTCGTTTAACTTTTGAAAGGTGTCAAATATTAAGTGTCATATGTATGAGTTCAAGTCATTAATTCGAATAATATCCGCTTCACGCTTCGATTAACTTCTGAAAGCTGTCAAATATTAAGTGTCATATGTATGAGCTCCAGTTACCAATGCGAGTAATGTCCGCTTCACGCTTTGATTAACTTTTGAAATATGTCAAATATTAAGTGTCATATGCATGAGCTCTAGTCTCCAATTCGAGTAATCTCTGCTTCACAGTTCGATTAACTTTTGAAAGCTGTCAAATATGTTGTCATATGTTTGTTACCTATGAAATATTAACATTTCTTGCAACATTAATATAATTAATTTATTTTATTGAACTAATTATAATGTTTAATGAATTTATGTAATATTTCAATTAAATTGATTGGAAAGTTTGTAAGTAAAATTAATATAAGTTTCCAGTTGATTTTTTTCTGAAAATTTTAATAATAATTGTAAAAAGTTTCTACAAATGTTAATCCATAAGAGTAAGTTTCGTTGAAACATTTAAAAAAAAACTTGAAAAGCTTTAATCTAAAACAAAATACAAGATAAATGTTGTGCTTTGCTTTTATATTAGTCAACTTTTTATGTTTTTTTTTTATTGTATTTCGGTTTAAATTCCTTGATCCATCCAGTTTCAGACAGTCCGGGATATTCCAATTACCGGGACTATTATATAATAGGTTATATAGGTATAAACATTGTATTTATAAATATAACACTTATAAAATTAAAAGAGAGTAATCAGTTCAAAACATTGTATTTGAAATGAAATGAATCTTTTTTCATTCATTCAATGTGAATTCATTTAATTAAATTCTCGAAATTCAAGGCAGAGGATCGAATTGCAATTATACGCGTTGGAACTCGAATCTCAGGACGAGAAGTTTATCCTAGTTACGTGTGTATTTGTATACATGTCCTGTCTTTTTTTTGTGTATATACTATGGAGCTGTTGTCATTTCATTTCCGTTTTCGTGCAATTTAATATTGTTTCTGCGGTAAATTGGATGCGAATTCGCTTTCGAGATAAACATGTGTATATACATGCATACACGTGTGTATGGGAGTGAGAGAGTGTTTTTTCCTCTTCGCAGCGCACTTTATTTTTTAAATTTATATTTATTACGTTTTATTTTATTTTTCCATCTCGAGGGTGAACGGATGAGGGAGAGAGAGAGAATGAGCATCGTAGGCGGCGAAGTTAAAGACTGTTCGAGGGGGTTCTAATCTTCAATACCGAATGCCTCTGTGACGGATGGGTTTTGTTTTCGGGTTGTTTTGTATTCTTAACTGGTGGCGATTAAAATTAAAAAGGCCACCTCGAAATGAGAGTGACGACAGTCAGGACATTTAGCCACTCGTTATTGTTATTACCATTTGGAGAAGTGGTCTTTGTAAAGGACGACGCGAAGTACAGGGGTTTAGGAGGATGGAAGTGAGGGAGGGGGTGATCCTTGCGTAGGTTGTGTGTGTGAGTGTTGGAACGACGCGAGATGAAGAGGGGGGATGTTTGCTAATTAATGTGAACCTGTTTCACACACACGCACGACTTCAGGTCTTGTTGTTATCCTCTTCGGTGCCAGGATTCTACGGAGGGTGGGGAGGCAACGAGAGAAGACGGCACCGACACCTCCCCCCTCCGATGGTCGGCGTCGCGACGCTCTTGCAGCGCCGGCGTGCGTCTTCCTATTTCACCTATATAAACGGGACGCGAATTCGTGCAGCGAATCTGTCGCGTCGCATAGGGTTCAACAGGTGAGTAGTTTATAACGTGCAATTACTTTCTTATTTTCTTGGCTTCCTTCTTTCAATATACACACTTTTTTTTCACCCCGGTTTCACACAACGGGAATATATTTTCAATTTTACCTCACATCATGAACAAAATGTATTTGAAAATAAATAAAAAATCATATATATTAAGTATTATGATTGTTGCAATAAATATTATTTTTTATTAATATATATTAAAATCTTCAATAATTTCAATATTTAACAAAAATATTTCCAACTTACAAACTTTAGACGCAAATAAATAATTCAAATAAAAAATCTGTTAAATTTTGGAAAATTCATGATTTAATTATATTTTATTTCAAATATTTAGTTTAAATGTAGAAAAATTATAAAAATAGAAAAATCTTTGTTTCTCTCTCATAAATGTAGAGAAGACGTCTTTAATTAAATGAATGCAAATTTAAAAAAAACAATAGTAAAATTTTATTAAATCATTTAATTGTATTTTATTTCAATTTTTAGCTTAAAAGTATATAAATCATAAATATAGAAAAAGTTTCACAGCAGCAGAATTATTTTTAAAATTTGATGAATGTGGAGAAAATATCGCTAGTTGCAGTAATAAATAATCCATTTAAAAGCATCTGTAAAATTTCATGAAATATATAATTTAATTTAAGTTCACATATTTAGCTTAAATTTATAAAAAAATTACACTTAATAAAGTGGAGAAAGAATCTATAGTTATATTTAGTAAACAATTCAGAAAAAATATTATAATTTACACTTAAATTTTACATTACTACAAAATAAATATTTCAAGAAAATATTTTAAATGAATAATATAATTACTTATAATTAATTGTATCCATTTCATTAGATAATTATATTTGATTTTTGAAAATGCAGATAAAAAATCTCATTAATTAATGTAATTTTATACTACAATAATTCATAAATTAATACCTAAAAACAAAAAGAGTAAGTAAATTACTTTCATATACAGTTATCTACTATTTGAATTTAATTTAGATATTTTTATTGTCACTGATTTCTACTAAAATCTTATAAAATTTTGTATTAGAATAACTTACACTTCCATATTTTATTTTAAATTTAATTTATTGCGTTCGTGTTTCTAAATTTTCTGAAGTTTTTCATTTTTTTATGATATTTCTGTCTTTTTTGTGTATAAAATAATTTAATAACAACTGTTAACATTTACTTAAAAATATTTGTCTGATTTATAATTAAATTTTCTAAGTGATATTGTTTGAAAACTAATATTTATTAAATTATATGTATTAAACAAAAACGAAGAAAACAATCAACTTTCAATAATGTGAATTGAAAGTTGTATGTTTATATAAATAAATATATATTGTAGTGCAATTTAATATGGCAAAACATGTTTGTTCTAAACATATTACGTCTTTTATTCTAAATTTTATTGAAAGGAGTTTCAATTAAACATTTTTTTAATTAATTACTAGTTAAAAGGTTCTTCAATTAAAAATATTAAATGTTATTTCATATTAATGGACTAATGGACAATCAATTTGTAATACATTTGTTTCATTGATTATTGTTTTATTTACATTTTATTGACCGCCAGAAAACGTTTTAAAATATTAATTAAAATCATTCTTGAACTTTGATCAATAATTTAATGTTTTACAAAACTTGCGTCTTCATTCTAATTTGTTGTTGAAAATATTTATAATATGAAAAATTGATATTTTAGTATTTTTTAGCCAAAATTCTTTAAAAACAATGTAAAAAACTTTATTGGGTGTCTTGGTTCTTTATTTGTAACAGATCTACGTAGAAAAAGTAAACAAAATTACAGCTATTCAATAGATATATTATTTCACAGAATATTTAGAATCTTGTATATTTGCCAGAATTAAACTTTGAAGATTATTAAAAAAGTTTAATTAACAAATTTGTTTAATAATATTTACTTTAGTTTACATCATTCATTCATTTTGCATTAAATCAAATTATTTAAGCACACACATCTGAAATATTTAAACATGAATTAAATAATTAATAAAAATTAGAAAATATTTCATTACCTTATATTTAGAAATATATTATTTAATATTTAGTTTTAGCAAATCAGGCAACAAACTACAAAAAAAATATCACATTTTTTATATTATTTCATTTAGTTAATTTCATGTGTGTAAGAGATAGGCTAAGTTGAAACAATTAAATAGTTCGTCCAAAGTTTAATGGAAAATCTTCGTTTTTCGGAAAGTGCATATTGTAATTTGCAAAACAATCATCATCCTCCTCCGCAAAACCCCGTTCAGTTACAGTTGAAATTTTAATTGCATATGGTGTGCGCGTGTGAGTTACAGTTAATTAAATGGAAACTTCCTCGGCGCAACACAAAGTTTCTTCACTTTTCACGCGCGAAATTTCATAAATCGCGTTATTGTGCAACTAAACTTGAACATGCAGAATGCGAATTTTCATAATCAAACGTATATAATTCGTAATTGTTCTTCATCTAATTAAATAACTTTTGCTACGAACTTGCGTTAATTTAACGGCTGAAATCATTTTTTAAACAAATCCAGCAATACCTCCAAGTGCGGATTTTATCAATGTGAATTCGCTATATTACGGTTTGAAAACTTCAAAACGAATACAATTTTATTTGAGTAAAATAAAAATAAATTCTAAAAAAATAGTACATAAAATGATTTTGCTTGTATTGTCATGTTTTTTTCTTGATTTATTTTTCTGCGCTTTTAAAGTCCTCGATTAGTCCGGTTTCACATTGTGCGGGATATTTGAACAAAATATTAAATAAATAGTATACAAAATTATTTTGTTTTATTCTCAAGTGTCTTTCTGTTTAGTTTATTTTTCTGCGCATTTAAAATCCTCGATTAGTCCGGTTTCAAATAGTGGTTGTATATTAACCGATTATTCACACGATGTATTTCTGTACTTTTAATATATGAGCAAATAAACAAATTAAATATGTAGAGATAAAGCATGTTTGAGGTTTTAGTAAACAATTTAGTAACGAATGATAATAACTTGATACCAATTTATTTGTGTTTTAATATGACATTAAACATATTGTTATATGTAATTAACATATTTTTATCTTACATAAACATAATAATATGTATTACTACAATTATACAAATAATCATAAATCATTTCGCTCCGTTTTATATTAATTTATATATATACAAGAGTTGCTTTATATTTGTACCAAGTAATCAAGTAGTATTTAGTCATTAATCCTTCTAATATACGTAATAGATGTTGCATAACTTACATTAGATATAACTCAGAACTAATATATAATAATAACTCGCATAGTAGGGCTTTGATTAATTATAGTCCAAATTTCAATTGTTAAAATAAAAATAAATTGTAAAAAAATAGTACTCAAAATAAATAAAATAATATTTTCTCTTTCTTTTATATAGTCAAATCTTTTGTGTGCAGTTTATTTTTATGCGGTTTTAAAGTCCTGGATTAGTCCGTTTTCAAACAGTCAGGGATATTTCATTATTTTAATTTTGTTATTACTAAATATCTGAAATCATTGGCATTTTTTGTACATTCTAATAATTCTAATCATTTGTGTATTACGAAATGATGAGCAAAAAATTAATTAATGAATTTTTTTACTGATGTCTTAGATTTAACGACCTTACAAGTTTATTTTAATTTTAGTTTAAATAATATGATTAATTATACTAATTGTATAAAATATTTGGTTATTATATAATATTTTTCACTCATCTAACTTTCTAATCTACTGTTAAAACGTTGCTAAAATATGTTGAATTTATTTAAAAGTATATAAAGATTTTTATAATTGGTCCCTCTAATATCCCAAAATGTTTGAAACCGCACTAATTGAGGACTTTAAAACCTTACGATAAAGGTCCAATGTTACAAATCGCAAAACCGTGTAAAAATAAACTGTATTATTTTGAATCAGGACTGATCGAAGCAGCACTATGAGAGGTACTCATGGTAATTGTTCCTGTATTAATGTGTTATTTTTTTTAATTTAAATTATTATAAATTTTTGTTATAAAATAGCTATTAAAAAAATATTGAAATTTATATAAAAGTGAATGCAGTAATAAAATATTTAATATAAAAAATGAATGAAAATACAGGAATTTTAGATTCTAAAAGCCGAAGTATGTTTTCGTGATGCTTAAATTGAGAATGCAAGTTCATAATGGTTTCGGTTCATTAATTGTGTTTGTTCCTTGTACCGGAAGGGCGTAAAGCAGGTGCGCATACGTTTCCATTTCGAAAGAAAATAAACGTGAAATTTTTATAAATTTATAGCGACACGCGAAGAATTTATTATTTCGCAGAAAGTTGATGCGTTTTGGTCGATGCTGCAGGAAGCACACGAAATTCAATTTGAATTTTTTACTAAATACAACATCCGCTGAAACAAAACGTAAAGTATATATCCTTTTAATTTCATCAAAATTCGATTGTAACAATCAAATTGAATTATCAAAGTCTTTTGATCGAAGCGCGCTTTTGTGTAATGCATTTTCGTGGCAAATATCACGTATGTACTCTTATTTGTTTGCTCGAAAATTGGTTTCGGTAATTTCCCTTTTGTTTCCTTTTTGTGGGAAAATAGCAGTAGGTGATATTTTCCAATCAAGTTAACAAACAGTCGCCAATTGGTGTACAACAAACAATACATAAATGTTAATGCGCCCGGCGCATTCACCAAAACCGCATTGGGTGGATAATGGAAAGATATGATAGTGCTTCACATGGTATATGCATTGAGGCAGAGATGATTTGAACCGATTTTCCTTCAGTTTGTTTACGTGAACTAGTAATTAGGATGAAAGTGGATTTCATCTGGGAAACAAGGGACAACAAAATACTCTTGTAAAGTATACACAACAAAATCTTTAGTGACTTCATAGCTGTGTTCTAAAGCTAAACAAACTATGGTTTTAGAAAAATAATGCTACTAATCCTAGTTCATTATATATAATGAAGTTTACTAACTATTAGCCTTAAGGTTTACACAATTATCCATTATATTACATAAAAACGTTCCTCTTACTTCTCGAACGCATCGGTTTCCGAAACATTCGCTTTCTGAACAAAATTAAAACAGCTTACAAACAGTTTTCAAACATCCTTTAGTATCGGTTTCAATTCAATAAAAAAATACGTTTATAAACAAAATTAGATTTGAAATTTTGCATCTTCATAAAATTTTGATTATATTTAATTGGAATACATATTAATTTCAGTTTCTGAAAATTTAAAATAAAATCGACTGATACAAAATTTCAGTTTCCAAAGTAATGGTTTTGGTTTGCATATAGTTCACGCTTAGTATTGACTTAAATTTAAAAAAAAACGAGGTTTTCGATATATTTGGTTTGTGAATAACAATACAAAATAATTTGGAAAGATGCAAAATTTCGGTTTCCGAACATGGTAAAATGGTATTGGTTTGCAAATAATACAATTTACAAAGATTGATTGAAAATATAAATAAAATGGTACAATTCCTTCAAATACGTTTATCAAAAAATAGAAGGTGAACAATGTTCGGATTATATTTAATTGAATTATCGCTATTTTTTTAATTGTTGGAACTTTGCTACACGAACACATCAGTTTCCAAATAAATCGTTTTCTGAACAAATATATTCAACAAAATCATCTCATGTACTATTTCGGTTTACAAACATGACAAATACTATTGGCTTGCATATTAAATTCAGTTTTCAAACATCATTAAGATTCTAATTAATTTCGAGAACCAAGGTTTCAATGTATAGAAATGGAATTAATATTTCAGATCATGATGGGATGATGATGACTTCTATTATTTTTAATTATAACATCATGCTTAAATTTAACAATTTTGTGCTGAAATATTCAAAATTCTTATATAATACAAACTATTCCATTTCAATAAATAATTATCTATTTATTTACATTAATGTCATAATTTTTTGATTAAACATACTATTTTTATTTATTAATGAAAATGATTTTTTTTTTATTAATTTACCATTTATTATCATGTTAAATTTCCATTGACTCTATAATATTTAGAATACATATAAACGTATATCACCAGATTAATTATTCTAATATAAACAAACTATGCATACACATTGTTTTAATACTGAACGATTAATTATACTAGATATAATATACGTAGAGTGCATTTCCGCATAATTCATCCTCGTATTACGTTGTAAAACACGAAGCGCGAATTTTAAGGATAATTTATTATTTATAATTAAAGTGAAATTAAAATACTTCATCAATTTTATTAATGCAGAGTTGTTAAAGTATTTAACTTGGTTTTCTTATGACAAAAAAAAGCAGAAATTTACAGAGATAATCATAACTTAGAAGAATTTTCTTGAAAGGTTTCAACTAATATACAGTAATAGCCGCATAGTGCGGACTAATCGACTTAAAAACCGCTTAAAAACAAACGGCACAAAAATTGATTGTATAGAAAAAAAATTATTTTGATGTATTCAAACCTATAGCGAATCCGCAATGATCGTTTTACTCGAAATGTCTATAAAGTAGAACCAGTTTTTGTGCGGTACTTTTATTATGCGATTTTATTTTTGGCGTTGGCACAATTGAAATATTTTCTATTTATCAGTGTGCATATGTGCATTTTGAAAATTTCTTCATATTCGATTTCGTAAATCTTTGATGTATTTTCTAAGTACGATTTTTTATATCCACCGCATAAAAAATGTAATATTTTATACAAAGTTATTTGTTATATGTAAGAATTTATGAAAAGTTCGGATATTTTTTTTGTGCGATTTTTTTATACAGTCTCTAACTACCGATCAAAAACAGATTTTTCTGTAGTTTTAAAAGTACACATATCACGTTTTACACGGTACTTTCTTTACACTTTTCCAAGGTTACAAAAAAATAAATTAAGAAATATATGTTGAAAATACACTAATCTCACGTTTTACACGGTTCTTTCTTTACTCGTTTTCGCTTTAAAATGGTTTAATAAAAATTTAATTAAAAATTAATGTTCAAAATAATCTGTCTTGGGTTGAAAATTACATAAACTGAAATTTCAATATTTATAATAAAACATTGTCAGTAATTTGACAGATATATTATATTTTTGTGGTGATGTTCATTTTCAGAAACTACCGAAACTCCAAAAACTCGAACATGAAATCCTCCGCAACTAGGATGTTCGCACTTCTCGCTGCGATCTTCATTATCGAAGGGAATTGGGTCCGCGCCGCACCAAGTCCTGACAACGACAAGCTACTCAGGACTCTCGAAAACCTGGACAAGCTCTACTCGTCCATGGCAAGACCTAGGTAAAGTACTCGTTCCGTTTATATCTTTCTAAATCCGCTTTAAACGTCCTATTCTTTCAAAACATTTCTATCTGCCTATCTATCACCAAAAAAATTAACCACGACATATCTAACCGAAACACAGACGCTTTCACGTAAATAATCACAAAAGAAAAAAAATCAATCAAATAATTAGAAAACATCACAGAACATGAATTAGTATAACCATTCATATATAAAAGTCTGGAAAAAGAGCGCAAAAACTTCAATGTAAGTAAAACATTTTGGGGCTTCGCTTTAAATTTTGATATAATATTATAAAAGCAAATAACGAAAACAAATCCTCAGCTTTGCATGTCTCGTCTTTTATTTGTTTGCATTTATATGTCTCTCTCTCTCTATCTCTCTTTGCATGCGAGTGGAGTTAAGTCGCTGTTAAGTGTCGCGTTACAATTGATCCCTAATGAGATTCGGCAAGTCGCTTCTCGTCTGGCATTTAGAAACCTTAATTGCTCGTGCAAAATAAATTTCCGACGTACGATTAATTATGCAACGCATCGGGGTTTCTTGCATCAACTGGTGCATAATTTAGATGCAGCTACGAATCCAAACAAGCTTTATCCGTACACAAAGATCTCTGATGTTTGATATCATCTCATGGCAAATGCACATATTATCTTTAAATCGGTTTGAATTAACTTTGTGAATTAACATTATACAATCATTAAAAATATATTTTTTTAGTAATATATACAATAGGTAAAAAAGTATTAATTTCATCAATAAACTACATACAAAAATAATTATAGATAAACAAATTAATCACAATCAAAATACAAATGAAATGAAACGAAAATTTAGTTTGATTTTAAATATTAAAATCCAGACTGTATGTAACTAATAATTACATATACATTTAATACAAGAAGTACAGTATTAAAAGTATTCTTCTTCAAATTTTAATACTTTCTGCTATCATTATTTCAAGATTTAATTAAATTATTGAAAAACCTTAGTTTCATTCCCGTTTACATTATCTACCAATTAAAAAAAGGATAAAAATCAAAATTATACTACAAATCATTCTTGTTTTTACTTTAATCTATTTTAATGACAATTCGATTATTTAAAAACAAAAAAATAGGGTTTTTATAATTATAACAACTTCAGTTAGATAATTTTATTTCTAATTGCTTTTATATTTTATTTGATAATATTAATAATATTTATTGAAACAGAAAATTACAAAGTAAAAAACTCAATACAATAATATAAACATCATAAATAAAAAAATGTCAACTGCTTCAGTTATTTAGTTCAGTTCTCATTTGAAATTTCAATTTTAAGACTTTTTATGGATAATAGTTATAATGATAACAATACAAAATACATATATTAAATACATTAATAATTTTATTTCTTATTGAAATGTGTTCAAGTTGTATCAGATTAATGTTTTAAATTCAAATTTGTGTATGTTTTTTTTTTATAATTTAGTCTAATTTTAACTTGTTACAAAAAGTAATTAATTTATTTGAAATATATAAAAATAATTAGATAATTTTAAATCATATTTTAATTGAAAAAAAAATATAAATCGTCCTGTTCGCCAGTAATAATATTATTTTGTAAATTAATATTGTAATTCTTGGGTAATTCTAGGTTGATCTAGTCAAATTAGGCTAACAAAAATGTACAAATAAAATAAAAATCATCCTGTTATTATTATGAGATACATTTGTATAGATTATTTATATGAACTTCTTAATTATAGCTCTGAATATAAAATGTGTTCATTCTTAATGAAGTGCACTAATAAAGCTTTTTAGTTGTAAATTATTTAACATCATATCTCATTAAATATTAGTGGACAATATCTTGGACTTATATCTCTTGCCTGTGCATTACTAATATCTATACCATCAACACAAATTACGTAATATATTTTACGTCGCAAATGCTACTTGGCGAATATTAAACTTTCTCATTCTAGATGTAAAAGGATTCTATACATAATGAATAACCACATTTATTTTATATCTCTTTCATAAAAAATAACGTATTAACGTATCAAAAATATATTAAATATACTTTCTCAAAATAATAATTTATTTATTACATAGTTTTTTATTATCATTATAAAGATTTTTTTTATAATTAACTTTAAAAAAATAGTTATATAAATGCACAAAAATATAATTATTTTTTTGTATTTACACATTTTATTTGGATTTTGTTTATTTGAAATTGAGTAAAATTATGAGATCCATTAAAAAATATTTCATATTTATTTTCAACACAACGAACTCACGAAATCCTTCCGTTCCAAAGGGTTGTTCGTAAGTCGAATTTGTTCGAAAGTCGGGAAAGTTATAGCTTTTAGAATTTTGTTCGTAAGTCCGGGAGTTCGTAAGTCGGGGGATAACTGTAATAATTAATATGTAAAGAAACAATGACATTTTGATTTTAATTTGTTGATTGGCTGTCGTCTTGTAGGTTAACTTCAGTAGTATATTGATGCTCTTCGATTCCACTATTTCCTTTCACTGTGAATCTGCTGCTATCCTTAACACTGTCATTGTCCATCGACTTGGCTTGTCCATCTGTGATGTACCGAAAGGGTTCACAAAGGGCCTGGCTTGACCAGGATTCGAACTGGCGCCCACTAAATCGTGGGTAGGGTCGTCCTGTTAGTCGTCCTGTATTAAAATATAAAAATTGTTTTGCTAATTATTAAAGTTAAAGTAATTGTTTCAAATATTTATTTAAGTTTTGATATAGAAAAAAATTCTATCACTTGACTTAGTTTTTAGATATTTTGTATACATGATTGAGAAGTTAAAATTTATATTTTTTTTATAATTCAATATAATGTAAAAAATCTATTATTATTTGACTTTACGTGTAGCGAATTTGGCCATACATTTGTATGTATAAAAAAAGGCAATAGACTAGACAATATATTCCAATCTGAAACATAAATATTCGACGGAAACTGGAAATCCCAAAGGCAAACAGTAATGGACGTGTTCTACGTTCATGGACGTTATAGGGCGACAAAAACGCAAACACCACGGAGGGTCGGAAATATGAACTTTCGCGTTTCGTTCTGTTACCATTTTTTTTACGTATATACATGTGTGTTTGTATTCCTGAATTTATGGATGCACACGGAAAAAATGCATCTGGTGCTTAAAGTTCGGGATTTACGATGAGGCCGTTCCAGGATTTAATTGTTAGGTGAGGCTAATTGAAAGTGGGGACTGCGTAGGTTATGATCTTGATCAGGATCAATGTGTGTGTATGTGCAATGGAAAATCCTTGGGTTTTCGTAAACAGCGGGATGCGGATTGCGACGCAGTCGGGGTGCGGAAATTAACACGCTAGGATTATCATAAGAACAGTAAACTTCCCGTTTAGTCTACTATATTACCGCTCCGAACACCAAAACAAAATCCTCAATTGAGACGCTATTATTTCAAGTAAATCCCTATGCAGATTACCTACTAGAGGCTCAAGTTTATATTCGACTTTGCGAAGAATTAAAATTGAAAAATAAACGTATAAAGTTAATACCAATGTTTAATGCTCGACCTATACGGTAAATAAATACAAACAAAGGATAATCAAATTTATAGTTACCTATAAATAAGGTATTTAATAGCAAAGCTTGTTTATAATGAATCTTAAATGATTCTGATCTAAATGTATCAATATTTAATTAACTTATATAACTTACTTACAAATACACAATTTAATATACGTGGGTCAATATTCCTATTCATTTGGTTACAATGTTTTTAATTATTAGAATAATCCAATAGTTTTGATATATTAAGCTTATTAAAATAAAAGTATTGAAATAAGAGTAATAAGCTTTAACTTAGATCAGAAAGACCTATGCTTAATATGCGTTTGAAACAGTTTACTTTTTATTTTTATATTTAAATTATATTTTTATTGTTGCATTAAATATTATTATTTATTGAGCTTTAGCTTTCAGTTATTTTATTGATAAATAAAACAGAAGTTTTGTACTTTTTTTGTTAAAAAATTACATATGTTATAAAATATTCTTGATTGAAGCTTGAAAATTGAAAAATAATTAAAAAATTAATAAATTTTTTTTTCACTTAACCTACTTATAATATTTAAATGAATTATCACCATATCAGTAAATTATATACACAAATCATTCAATAATTGTATTATAAGATCTTAAATTTGATTCTACTATTTATTTATAGTAATGGACTAAATTAAATCAATATTAAAGTAGAAAATTTAGAGAATACTTTTTTTCATATTTTCAAAATTATTTATGAAAAAAATCCACTAAAATCATTCTGATGATAAAACTTTATATTATTATAGAAAAATAATTCAATAATTATATCATAAGATCTTAAAATTCATTTTATTATTGAAACCAAAACAAGTCAATAGTAAAATAGAAAAAGTACAGGATAGTTTTTTTTTCATATTTGAAAAATATTTTATGAAATTCTACTAATGATTAAAGCTTATAAAGCAATTAAATCAGGTTAACTAAAAATCAAAAATTCATTTGATTTAACCATTTCATACTAAATATAAAAATTAATACTTTGAATCAAAATTTAGACATAAAAGTATTAAATAGTATTCAGTCATCAAATTCTGCTTGGTTCTGTTTTATTAATAGCTAGATCGCATTTTAGTTCTAAAATAGATTTTTGTATTAATTGATTATTTACTATTTTTAACTCAATAAAAAATATATATCTACATATCTTAGTATGAAGACTTTTACATACGCTTTACAAATAAACTGCAAAGTTTACAATATATTTAGGGGTAAATTGCACTAAAACACAATTACAGTGGAACCTGTATTTTCACTCGTATAGTGAAACAATTTTCTCCATAAAAACTAATGTAATATACGATAATGCGTTCCATTTTGCGAGTCATTTTATTACAATTTATTTTGCTCGTTAACCGAAATGCTCGTTAAGCGAAGTTCAACTGTATATTTAAAA